GACCTCTGATCCATAAATTAATTATGACATACCAACAACCTTTTCAAGAAGTAAAAGGTATGAATTTTCAAAAACTCACTCAACGGCATCTTCATAAACTTATAAAATATGACTTGAAGCTTAATGTTCTCCCTAGAGCTCTCTTGTTTCCTCTTAAATCGTGGAATGCTACCGCAGTACTAGTTGGCATAACAGAACAATGATGAAATTATTCAATAATTCAATACAATTTGTAGTACAAACAATGACTGTGAATGTTTCCTTTTAATCATTGAGGAAACTTATCTTGCCATTAAATCAGAATTGGAAATCTTTTTTGAATAAAACATTCATATTAAGTCATTCGATTTCAATGAATAAACGATTTAAATAATTAATTCAATTAAATGGATCTAAAAGTTCAAGGAAAAAGCAGATGAAGGAAATAAAAATGTTTGTCCTTGGCATCGAAAAACTCCTACAGTTGTCAAAATAAAGAAAGAAACTTCTCAATTACGACACAATTGTGTTGGAATCAAATTATTGAAGGAAATATGAGTCAACAGAAAGATAAGTAATGAAGTGAATAATAATGAAGCAATGGCTGAGCCCAAGTTTTTTGCATAAAAAGTATTAAAAATAATTTGGCACCATAATGTAATATTTAATAGTGAATATCCCTCAATGACAGGAAGAAAATGAAATTTGAGATAGTAGCCAACTGAATTATTTAAATAAGCCCGAGCTGCATATTATTGTATTGTGGATTTTTAGTGGTTATGAAAGTGTATTTGATGATGCAGTGTTGATATCTAGCACTTGGCTTTTAAAAAATGGACCTAAGCGTGGGTAATTAGCAAAAAAATCGAAAGCATAAGTGTATGCCTTTGTTGTGCCAATCTTAGCAAAAATGATTGACTAAAGAGTGTGAAACTAATCAAAATGATAAAATATTGATCAAAACATGATTGAATAGCTCCGCACTCTTGAACATACCCGAGAAACTTTTAAGAACTACGAATGAAAGACTGGCTAATTCACTATTAATGCCAAAAAAAAATCATCAAAAAAACCACTTTGCAATAATATACAGCTCAAGAAATTCACAAATAAAAATATTTCTTTAAGATTTAAAATCTCGAATAATTTCATTTTCTTTTTAAAATTCACAATAAATATTTTCTTAATATTTTTTTAAATATTTTTCTTTTTATTATTATTTTCTTTTTTAAATGTAACATTTACATAAAATAAATCAAATGTCTCCAACAAAAAATTAAAGTTTCTTTATGATTGAACAATGAAATAATTTTTTTTATAATCAATTACAACTAAAAAACATTTTTTTATATAATTTGTTTCTCATTAAATGTAATAAGAATGAACAATCTCGCAATTTATGTAAAATATAAAATGGGAGTTGAATAAATAATTGAATTTGGACCGGAGTTCATAAAAAATTCAGAAATTCACGTAAAAATTTCATTTCTTGTTATTTCAATTGATGCGTTTAGGATGCCCTTGTGAGTCTCATAGAAGATTATGTGCGTGCATGTTTTACGTATGGAAAGCTTTTCATCTCTCGAGAGAGCTTTCTACCCTTCTCATATTACTTGTTCCAAATAAATTTATGTATTTTATTGTTTATTTCTTCTTATAATACAATTTAAAGTTCGCTCATGCTAAGCTTAATATTTTAAGCTTGAACGATTTTGACTTACACTGAAAAAATTATACCTTTTTCTCATTATGCTATGGATTTTCATCCTGTTTATATTTATGAGAAACAGAAATTTTAAGGGATATATTCGTGTGTCTGTCTTAACTGCTGGAGTGAAGAAGAAGATTCGTACAGTAATAAAAATAAAAATGAGAATAAGAAATTTAATTTTACATTCAATTATTTTAAGTATGTCTTATGGAACAACCAAAAATATTTTATACACTAAGGGTGTCTCAGAAATTTTAGAGCTGTCAGAAAATGGCAGTCAGATTAATCACAAGACCTTTTTTGTTCTTGTATATCAATGAATTTTTTTTTCTTTTTACGAGATGAAATTTTGATACGAAAATGTGCGTTGACGCGTGACCATGTGTCGTACACGTGCTAGGCTACATGACAATGTTTCCTCTTTTTTTTGCGGACGTTAAAGAAGACTCGTTTATAAATTTTTTTCTTAAATGGTCAGAATTCATTTGTTGTGTAATTTTTTGGGTTGAAATATTTAAGACCACAGCTGGAATTATGAATTTTCATAGAAACAAGAGCAGAGGGAAAATTAATCTAGTTAATTATTCCAAAAGTTCATAAGTTTCTGAAACACCCTTTATATCCAAGGAACAAACACTTTTATCAAGTTTAAGTCAGCACAGCGTCTATCTACGTTTAGGAACTCTATGATATGGCATGTTCAACTTCTTGTTATCAAAAAAATGTCAATCAAAAATGCTTCAACAGTATTGAATCAATACTTGACATGATAAGGTCGCATACATTATCTCAATAAAACTGTTCATCCCCAGACACTTGTATAATATACATTTACATTCAAATTGTTTTTCGCATAATTTAATAAGGTAACAAAAAATTCAACTTTTTTCTTCTTTCCATCCAATACATTATGTATATATGTATGTATATAAAGTTTTTATTTCCTTCCTATCTAAAAAATTTTAATATATTTTTTTCATTATTCTTCAATTTTTCTTTTTGTGTTAAAAGATTTCATCTTTTTCATTTCCAAAGCGTCTCTTTGCTTTACAATATCATCATCATCATTATCATTAAACTAGATTTTGGTCATTTTCAAATTTTTGTTTTTATTTTTCACTTTTTTTATAAATTTTTTTATTCTTTACTAACAAATAAATATAAACGAGAGGAACTAAAAAGGAAAAATGAACTTGATTTGATAGAATTTTTCCATAACAAAAAAAAATCATTTATTTTTTAAGTATAACACGAGTTTTATTTAGATTTTTGATCATTTTTTTAAAAAAATATCCAGGAATTTTATGCTACCTAATTAATCATTCATCACTTAGGCATCATAATGGACTAATGGGAGTTACTCATCATAAGATTTAATAGATAATAGCTATAATCGAATAAGTTTTACAATACGTAATTATCATATAATATATATTTAATTAATATTTTATGTAAGAAAGATTTTGCATTATTTTTTTTTCATAAGTAACAAGAGAAAGAGAATTAAAGGTTTTCATTCTTTTATTTTTATATTATTTTTTTTTTTTGCTTCTGTAATTTCAAAATTGGTTTAAAAAAGTTTTTGGTATACGCTTTCGATTTGGAAATGGAAAAACTTGTGGTTTTTGAAAAGACTGACTTAAGAAAATTACGATGTTGATCTGTGAACCTAAAATGTGAGTTAATTCATTATTTCTAAGTTACATGATTATTTTGGGTTAATCTTAACTTATTTTACGATCATTTTTTGAACAAAATATAGGAACAGCGAACTTTGAACTATTTGAAGATTTTTGGTTAAACGATTTAAGTTCAATCTTGCATGAAACAAATAAGATTTTATTAGAACCAAAACCAAATCCTTGTAAAAAGATTAACTAATTCAAGATTTTAAAAATTCAGACTAGATTAACCGTTGTAATTCGCATCCAGTCATACCTATTCATCTGAACTTCGAGGCTGAAATGATTTTCTATCTCCTAATAAGAGAATTATCATTAAATCATAGTTCTTTAAAAAATAAAACTCTACTAGTAGCATTATTAAAATCTCTGGAACTTTTTAAAAATCCGATTAAACAGTGCAAAAATTGACTTCAAAAGTCAAAGAGATTTTCAATTCTTTTATAAGTGTAGCTTAATAAGACTTGACTGCAGCAATAATATTATATTTTTCATAAATCTGCCATTATGCCTCAAATTGAAAAATATTGGACATATTATTTTAAAGTAATTTAATTCCAAAAAGAATCAGATTCATGAACAATTTGGAAGTGTTAATGTTAAAGTGTCTGACAAATGAGCGATCAGAGGATAAATTGAACATTTTGACAGTTCACGACGGACAAGTCACGTCCAAAAAACACAAATTTTCCATTTCCCACGCCACACAAGCATACGCTCTCAAATGGAAAGCGTGAAGGAATCAGTAATATGTAAAAAAATTGAAATTATGATATTCAAAAAAATGCAAAAAAATTTTAAAAAGATTTTTTCCATTTTTATTTTTTCGATAAATATTATTATTGTTTTTTATTTAAAAAATCTTTTTAGACAAAAAATTCTTTTAAATATTTTTTCAAAGATTTATGCTTGAATTTAATTGTGAAAATTCACTGTAAGTTTCTCTTTTCATACCCAATTTCTTTTTTTGAAGACGTTTTTCCCTTCATTCTTTCTAATGTGCTTGCAATGTAAAAAAGTTTTTATTTTATTCTTCACTTTCCTCTTCTATTTCAATTTAAGGCATGAAAGAATCAGAAAATTTGTTTCAATTTTATTTTACTACCGTTTTTCGATTTTCAATTTTTATTTTAGATTAATTTCATTTATTTTCATTCATTCATACAATTTTATTATTTCATGTTGAAAAATAAGAATCAATTTTAATCTCCAAATGGAAAGAGAGAAAAAATTTTGTTCTACAAAAAAGTCTTTGATAGTCTTCAGGTTTATCATTATTTTGTGTGTTCATTGATACAATTCTGAAGGGATTTGGTATCTGGTGAGCAAACATGCTCTTTTTTTATTGCCAATAATATTACCGCATTGACGAAACTTTTGTTGCGGTTTTATGAAAAAAAATTGTAATTTTAATGTGAGGACATGAAAACCCACCCCATACCAAATCCCTGCAATTCAGGCAAATTTAATTTATTTTCCACATCGAAAATTAAATAAAATCTATAATAGTTAACAAGTGTTTCCATTATATATCCGAGTATATGCAAAAAAGATAGAAAAAAATTGACTCTATTTTTTTATCCATCTGAAAAAAGATTTTCAATTTTTTTTTTAAATTTTTTTTTCTTCATCCTAATTCCAATTTAATTGTGTATATAAATTTAATTATTTTTCTTTGTTGTATTGAATGAGTCCAAAGTTGTAGGCCATGTCATTTTTATCTTCATATTATATATTTTATATATATTTAAATATTTCAATTTGCTTAAACAAATTTGACATAATAAATTCGAGCAGCAAAATGATATAAGAAAATTGATCAAATTATATTCATTTTCACTTCTACGGAAGCATATAGTTGGAGGGAAGGAATGAAAAGAAAAAGAAAAGAAATAGGAAATTAAATAAAAATAATTCTAGCTGTTTAAATTGTTTTACATTACCATTTTTTGCCAGTTTCTAAGGCGAATGATTAATGATTCTGCGGACAATAGTTGACGCTATGTGAGCATCTTGAAAAACATAATTGCCAATGCTATGTTCACTATCAGAACCAACAAAATCAGTTGTTGGCGTGAAAACCAGTCCTGTGGTGCATAATGAAGAATAAAAAGAGAAAGAAAGATGGAGAGAGTAATAAAATATCATTATTAATATTTCGTTCAAGCTATTGCAAGATTTGTCCATTATAAAACACCAGTAGAATATTGTAAGATGAGAATGATGCGCCACTTCAGTAACGAATGGAGCTCATGCCAGGGGTGCACTCAATTTATTCTTTATGGGGGGTCCACTTAATAAAATCATTAAATTTATTTATCGTTGTTGTTTTTGAATGTTGTTGTTTTTGAATGAGATTCTTGATACCCCTAAGTACACACCTGACACATTCTGTTGGCGTCATAAAGCCAAACATCACCACTCATTCAGAAATGGAGCAACATTTATTTCCTTCAATTTAATTGCAATTTTTTTTTCGTTTCATATTTTTTGGTCGCCAACAACATTATATGGATATTGCTATCATGCATTTTTATTCCTCATATAAGCGTATTATGAAGAAAATAAAAAATTCATTCATCATGCGATTTATTCTTATAAAATATTTATGACTGAGCAATTTCCGTTATTTTGTATCGTTTAATTCCGAAACTTGCTTTTAAAAATTTAAAAAAAAATAAAATGGGATGAAAATGATTGTTTTTTATGCAATAAATGTGATGTTGCTAAGCAAATAAAGAAACTCTAGGCTAAATTAATGATTCTATGAACTCATGCTGATGATTAAATGCGGAGGTATTAATGAGATTTTCTATGAAATGCCTATAATAAAACTGCTTTTATTATTTCTGTATCTCGTTTAAAAAACATTAAATGCACACTTTGAGGCTATACGATATCAATATTATATATGTACATAGAAATCAATTTTCAATTATTTTTTTCAAAATCCTGAAACTAGTCAGTAAGAATTCAAAAATAGATCTTGTCTATTTAAATGTCGATGTAAGTTTTGCATGCATTGCATGTCAAAATTCAATTCTAAAATTCTCTCTGTGTGCTTACAAATTTTTTTTGCATCGATTTATTACAGCAAGTGTTCGATGTATAAGAAAGGGTCCGATCGGGTATTATGTAACGCTAAGTGGAACTCGATTATTGTTACTATTTATACAAAAATTTTTATTGATACAGAAAATGTAGTCACGCCATGTAAAAATATTAGAACTATTGAGTGATTTTTCAGTTCCTTGATTCTAAATCGTAACAAATAAGCTCTACCTAATCTCAAACTTAGAATAGCTTTAACACGCTCTACTTAATCTCAAACCCATAATAGCTTATTTTTTGAGACAGTCTATAAGGACCTAAGTAACCTCTCGATTACTGAACTATTAAAATTTTGAGTCTCTTTTTAAATTATACAGATTGATTGATGATTAATTGGAGTAGCTTATAAATTACGTAAATGTAAAACTTTTAGCAATACAACTGAGATTGCATTGCAAGCTACTAGCTTTTCGCGAACCCTATCGACTTCGAGCTCTGTTATTATCAAACAATCGAACTCGTAGCTAATTATTCATAGAAAATCTCATTTGACAATCATAATATGAATGGAACACATCAAAACATCAAATGGTTTTCCGTTTAGATAGAACATAAAACGTACCTATATGTCTCTCTTTTTAGATTTTATTTAAATTTATTTTGTTAGTTGCGGGATGGTAAGTTTTGAAATTAAAAAAATAATATAAGTTTCAATGTGCCATAAATATATAATTGAAATAATGTAGCGAAAAAAAGTTTTACAATTTTATTTTGGTAAAAAGGAGAAAAAAAAATCATTTGTGTGAGTCTATGTAATATGGAAGTGTATGAACAAAAAAAAAGGTAGGGAAAAAAGGGGCTGAGTATATTTAATTTATTACAGCAGCGCAAATTAACATAAAAGCCAAGTTTACTCATGGATTGAAGGAATGAAAAAAGTTTTTAAGTGATTTAATATGAAAAATATTCACATTTTTACTATATCGTGAAAGGCATTTATGGATGTAATTCTATTGGTAAAATTGTGGCTGGCATTTTGTCTTAATGGACGAAAGCTTTATGCAGCAACAGGTCTTTAATGGTTTAACTTGTGGAATTGTAAATTGACTGAAATGCGTTACGGAAAGGTAATTTTTAATATTTAAATTTGAAGATGCTGGTAGGGTTGGGTAAGGTATCAAAATCAAGAAAACTTTTTTATCTGTGGACGTAGCTACTTAAGTCCACAATAAACCATCCTGATGTAAATTTTTAATTTAATCTTGAACTATTCATTAGTCTTAAGAATATCTAGATGGTACGATCAATTTATGTTTATATTTAAGTACTTTGGCGTATCCAATGACCAAAAACCATTTAGATTAGAAACGAGATAAAGATAAACTCTGACCCACTTCCTCAAAATTATTACAAATAGCATTAAAAAAGAACTTAGTGAATAATGAGAAATTTTGTCAAATGCCTTAAACTTAGAAATAAAAAAATCAATTTCTCATCCTCTACTGGAAATCATGCAAGATTCAGAAAAATGCGCTCTATCTAATCTTGTGATTTATAAAAAATTTACAATATTTTTTATATTTTTTTCCATACACGCGTGATGTTAATTAATTGAATTAATTAATGCAAAGAAAACCAAGCAAAAGCTTTTATGTTAATATGGCATATGTACATTGTGGTTAAGTAATTAAAGAGGTTATTTAGTGTTTAGAAAATCCTTTTTTAATATTCACAAAAAAAGAATGGAAAGGCAAATCTTGTACTAAGGAGAAACTCTGCTTAGGGAAAGATTTAACTTGCAAATTAAGTAAATTAAATTTAAATGAACAAGAAAATTTTTTAAGTCAGAAAAAAAAGTTTCTTGTTCTGTTTCTGACTCATGAGTGCAGTAATTTTCTGTTTGCTTTTATAAATTCAAAAGAATTGCATGCAATTAAAGTAATGCAAGTTCCTTTCCAAAACAGAACAAAAAAGAGTGAATCGAATTAAAAAGGAAAATGAATTTAAAAAAAAAGAACTAAAACTATGTGAGATGTAAGTAGCATTAAATGAGATTCTTCCTTATAATTACTTATTATGTCTCTCATAAGTTCATTTAATTCCTTAATCAAGAAATAATCTCTTCTAATAGAATATTTGTGTAGAGCAAGTAATAAATGAAGGAATTAAGAAGAGAAGCAGAACATACCTTTACTTGTGGACTGACGAGATAAAGTAACGGATTTGCTCTATATCGATCCGATTCATCTTTCTGACGTCTAACTTCTTCTCGACGTGCTGAACCTAATACCGATACTTCTTCCCTACTCATCATTTTATTAACTGGTATTTGCTGAACATCTGGCAAAGACTTTTTCCGCTGAATTGTCACGTTTATTGGGATGCTCTGATGTTACGTATAGAAAGAAAAGAGTAAATATATAAATTAGATATTGTTATGTATGACTTTTCATTATTTTAATTTAAATGTCAGATGAATAAGTCTTATTTTATGCAAGTCTCGAAAGATGGAATGAGAATAGAAAGAAAAGGAAACGAGTCTCGGCATGAGATCTTAGATAAATGTAGAAATAATGAAACATAAAAAATAATTATGTAAAATGATAGTCAACCTCAATGGGTGCCGAATCAATCCAACTTTCTGATGCTCGCCGTGCTAGCAATGCTGGCGAAAACATTAAATCAGCCTCATCTTCTTCTTCATCTGGTTGGTACCAATGCATCCTTATTGACAGTGATCGATAAATTAGAATGATTTTATTGAAAGAGTATTCAACAAGTGTAGGGGAAAATTATCGATTTAAATGATTGAAGCGCTTCTGGAGTTTAATGACCAGCAGTGTTGTAAATCAAGATCTTGGTGTCTTACTCTAGTGTGCCGTATGACACAAAACAGATTGACCGAACACCAAATTTTATGAGAATAAGGAGTAAAACTTTGTTTGTATTGCTTTAATATTCTGCATTACAAAGGACTAGTTCGAGATAACCAATTTTGAAAGCTAGCTTTAGAGTTTGGTCTACAAAAGGTTTCTTGCTCGGACGTTCCATAGTTAAAAAACTGCTGATCAATGTTCATTAGTCTCAAAATAGTTTTTTTTTCTCTAGTTCCAATAAGCTAACCAAAGAAAGATATTAAATTCTATTTAGTTGTTTTCTTATTTTCATGTCTTATTGCAAGAATCAGCATATAAAACGTGATTCTAAAAATAAAAGAAACTCATTCAATTTGGAATTTTGCAGATAGAACAATACCGAGACTTTCAAGATTGTTCAAAAATGATCAGATCCATAAATGCAAAATATTAAACAACACTCAATCGTTTGTGAACATTTAAGCCTATTCTTATAAACAGAAATGCGCTTAGGCAGCAATCATTTATTAAAATCGAGTCGAAAAATGACTTAAAAGATTTTCCCATACATCTTTTATGTAGGTTTTTAAATACTTTATTTTTTCCTCCTCCTATAAACTCTGAATTGAAATGTCTATATTGTATATTGTTTTTCTCCTTCGTTCTTGCTTTATCTAATTAATGGATTAACATTTGCACATATTTTTTTTGTATCTATCTACTTATTTATTATTATCTTATTTTCAATATTCTCTCTCTTTCAATCTCTGTTTCGATTAACAATTAAAAAGAAGGAAACGATATTGTAATAATTATAAAAGAGAAACAGTTTTCATTCACACTGTTGAAACATTAATGTGCCTGGGTGTTGTGTGTATTCTACGATTCAATTTGGCACCACGACAAGATATGTAGATGAATGAACAACACTGAATATTATTAAGATGATGTAGCAAGCAGGCGAATAATATAATTTTTTTTTATATATATATTTCTTTCTTGTGTGCCTGCCTTAATTAATCAATTATATTCCTTCACTTTTATTAATCGAATATTAATTTTTTTAATGCAAATTCCCGAAATTCTTTGTTGCTGTTTCTTATTTCGATTTAATTTTTTTTTTTTATTATTCAACAAACGTGCTGACAGTTGGGATATAAATTTTCTTAATTATTTCTCTATCCCGTAGGCGAATAAAAATAATAAAAACTATTAGATTTAGGAGAATTATGTTATCAGATATTTTCACTTTCAAGCATTCAGAGCGATACTGAGGAAAAATTCTCTCAGAAGTGACTTTTGCGACCACGAGCAGATGAGATGCTTTTCTATATTCTGTCTTTAACACATTTAACGAGTAACGTAAAACGAAAGGCTAAAATTAAACTTAAGCTAAATTTCTACAATAATAAATACGAATGAATATCATCGAGAGTTTGTCGCGGGAGAAGGAAAGAGGAAGAAGATCACCAAGACATTCTATCCGGTAAACTATCAACAAGAAAAGGCAACTTGTAAATAAAAGTGCATGTATTTGTTTGAGAATTTTCAATATTTTTCCCTTATATATTTTTGAAACTGTCTCATGTGTTAGTAATTACTTTCTCGCATATTATGATAGTCGTCGTCGGTATCATCAGAGAAGAAGAAAGAAAATGAATGATCATGCTCACGATGATGATGATGATGATGATGGTGTAAAAGGCAGAGAAAATTTTAAATATTCTGACAAATCTGTTGCAATAAATTTCTGACACATGCTCACCTTGTTTGCTGCTTTTGATCCACCACCTCCACCACTGGCTTTTCCACCGCCTGATCCACCACTCACTATAGGCTTTTGCGGCACAAAGAGACTCTCAGTACGTTTTGGCTGTCCTGGTGATGGAATAATATCTTGACCTAATGTTCTCTGTCTTAGAAGTACATCTTCAAATGGCTGATTTGGAGTCGAATAATGTGCCTGAATTTGCTGTATTGATGTTTGTTGTTGAAACACTGGCGTACCACTCCTTGATCCTCTTCGCGATGCACTAGTACTTCCAGTTCCACCTCCCATAGCACCTGTTAACACTGAACCATTTATATTCATTGGAGGCGCTGGTGTTGTGCCACGCAGCTGCGATCCAGCTCTCACATTTCGATCAATTGAAATTTCTGGCGTAAGATTCGCTGATGGTGAACTACCTATTACTTGTCTATCAACAGATGGCGGACGTGATGCACCGAGTCGACTGGCTGCTCTTGTATAACGATCTACGGATGAATCACGACTTGGTGGACGTTTGTAATGATCAAAATGATCTATTGATGTTTGATGAATTGCTCCTAACATTGGACGACCACTATCAGAAACTTGTCTAGAACCTCTACGAAGACCAGTATGGGGATCAGTATATGCAGATGCACCTTGATGATCATTATAATTGTGTTGCTGTTGATAATTGTTAAAGGAATTTTCTTGTGATTGGTTCATCGATTGTTGATAATGACTAGCACTGGTTTGATAAATTTGATTATGTTGTTGTGATTGTTGAACTGAAATATTTGAAGTCGCTTGATTATATTGTTGCTGTACGCTATTGGCATTATTTTGTGCTAATTTTTGTGGCGTACTAAATGCTGATCCCGATCCTCCCATACTGTTTCCAGGTGGCTGAGACTGCCCAAATTGTTGATTATGTCCTAATGTGTTATTATAATCTACTGTATTTGTTTTATTACCATATATTGAAGTATTATTTTGCATCGTATAATCCACAGATGGTTGTCGCATCGCTGATGGATTTACGGATGTGCGACGTGCTGGTGCTGTTGGATTTAATAGGCTACTTGATGATTGTGCTTGTATTTGTTGTTGCTGCTGCTGTTGTGAATTATGTTGTTGATTTAAATTTGTTTGCTTATTTGGACTAACAATGCTATTTGTTTGATTAGATGTCACTTGATTATCGCTTAAAAGTTTCGCTTTTGCAGCTTCATCGTTAACTGTTGTATTTCGGAATCGTTCTCTAACTCGAATCCTCTCAAAACGTTCCAGTAATGCGGGTTTAAAATCAGGTGCAAATTCGCGTGCTGTCTGTATGGCTACTTCAGAATCAACACGCGCATGATCCGCTGAAACATCAGCAAGTTCTGCTTTGCCACGAGCTGTTGCCGTTCTCGATATGGCAATGTCAGCTTTTTGTAGTGCATATTTGCTAGCGCGTTGTGCCGAGTCGACAGCCGCATCAATTCTTTCGCGAAATTTTGCTGATCGAATCAAAAATAAATGTTTCTTTTTCTGACTAGTGATTAGCACATTATTTTTGTATTTTCCTTCTTCCTTCGTGCCGTCGCGAAATGTCGTAACGCCATAACCATATTTTTTGTTTGCAAACCATTCACCTTCATATCTAAAAAAATTATCATGTGTAGACAGAAGAAACGAACGAAGGAAGGAATGATGTAATGAAATGAAAAAGAGAAAAGAGAAAGAATAATAAGGAATGAAATTGGAGATTTGATTTATTATTATGATGAAGTTGCTGTATTGTGACAAAGAGCTTATAAAACTTACTTAAGACCGTCACTCCTTTCTGAAATTCCATATCCACATCGTTTATCATTCTTCCATTCTCCCATATAAGTCTCTGTAACGCTACCATCCAACTGCTCATCTTCAACAATAAAGCTCGCATTTGAGTCTGTATGTACTGACCTGTGTATGGCGCAAACATAAATTAAATGAGTAAAAGTGTCGAGAATAAATGTTGAAAAAATTTAATCATACTTATTAGTGATGCCCGATTGTGATGACTCTGTGCTTATCCATGATGCAGTCGAAGCCGTTGATCGTATGCTACCAGAACCTGTTCGTTTCTCAAGATCTCCTGTACTACGCTGCTTACGTATTTTCAGTCCTGACAGGAGACCTTTCTTCGTCTTTTCAACTAAACTATTACGTCTTGGTGGAGGCTCATCTGATTTTGCTTTCAACACAAAGCCCCCTCGAGAATCATCCACACGATGATTTCGCTTTTCAGCTGGATCTGGCGTGGGTGCTTGATTGTTATTACCGTCATTACTACGTAATGATGTGAGTGAAGCTCTAATTGATTTAGGTCGAAATCTAGATGCAAGTCCAAATGGTGCTGATTGTCTTACACCATAACCATGTCGCATGCCTCTAAGCCATTGCCCTTGATATGTTCCTAAATTTAAAACGAAAAAAAGTATAATTTGAAAGTTTAAGTTTTTTTTTTCTTGTTCAAAAGGAAATTGTGTCAGTTTATAAAGTTTACAATAAAGTAAAGTAAAAGACAAAAGAAATTTTCAAACTGGCATTCTAATGTCTAGACGTGATGAAATTAAAATTAGCATTTAAGCGCCAGTAGTGATCATTAAATAATGAAAAGGTCCAATTTCAATTTTTAGTATAATACCTGAATCTGCATAAGTCTCTGATCCATAACCATCTTGAAGACCGTTAGCCCACGTTCCTTCATATTTTGCGGTCGACGTTGCACTCTGCCTCACACCATATCGCCCTTTAAATCCTTGTGTCCATTCACCTCTGTAAATCCATCTTCCTCTCGTTTCAATACCTAATCCATGTCGCTTTCCATTTTGCCATTGACCTTCAAACGATGATCCACTTAACCAGATGAGAATAATTAAAAAAAAAAATGAATATTTTATGCTCGAATGCAATTAAAAGATTTTTTTTTTGTTTAAAGTATAAGAAGCTGCTCATAATTCCTCCTCTCTATCTTTTTACAATAATTTTTTATAGGAATGAAATTAAATTTTTTTTATGTGCCGGCAATTGCCAGCCAGCCAGCAAACCTCAAGGATAAAATATTTTTTCATGCATGAATGAAAATTCTTTCAACAATTCATGTCAACATCATCAATTCCCAATCTATCTCTATCATTTAAAAAGAAATTATTGTCGTAAAAAAGATGAGAAATAATCCATACATAACAACTATAGTAACGAATTCTTTTCTATTTCGTATGTACCTAAAAATAGGATCGTGTCATGATTTTTCTTTTCTTCAGCTATATGCCTTACTCACAATAACCCTCATGCTTTCTTTCTTTCTTGTAATACTCTAATATCTACATAATAAAAATTCTTCAATACATTTAGATATTCTCAAGACAATTGAGAAAAACGTGCGGTATGTGTCTCTGTATATTTTCTTCATTATAAGCTATGAAAAATCAGTAATCTCGTATTATAAAAAAAAGTGGAAATAACAGAGCAGAAATAATTTTCACATTTTCACATAAAAAAATATTTTTCAAAATAAAATTTAAAATTGTATTTCTCGTACAGCTAGTGATGTGGTGGAAATTTCTGTTTTTATTTGTCGTGGAAAAACATGTGCACAAATATCTTACTTATGTGTGTAATATTTTCCAAGAATCAATAAAGAAAAAAAAAAGGTTTTACGTCAATTTTTTTTCTCATTTCGTATTTTCATTCATTAAGAAATGAAAAAAAAAGATTCTTTTTTCGAGGAGTCAGTAACTTTTTTCGCTGTAATTTAAATGAATCGACTGTTTGGAATTTCATTAATGTAAACTTATAGATATTTCTAGTAAATTCTCAATAGGACTCAAGCTTATCTGTTTTCCATAATTAAATTGATCAGAGTTGGTTGCTAGGTATCTAAGGTAATCTTGGATCTCTATGGATCTCTGGATGTCGAGCAAACTTTTTCCTAGGCTAATATGATCTCGTAAGCTTTGTTTTTTTCCAACACCACATTCCTAGTCGCAGATTAACATTTCTCGTTAGACTAGCTTTTTGGCGGGAACGTTTTTCCACATTTCGGCATTTTCAAAGCTCTGTTTCGTCAAAGCTGAACTCGCAAAAAACAGCTCTGAAGTCGGTTTGATGAATTCATTTGTGAAAATGGATATCCACACGTAAATAAATTACTACATGCAATGGGGTTAATATTTCAATAATCATTGGGAATTCAATTCAATTTAATTTATCGTATAAATTTCGAGAAATCCTTGAAAAGTTTTCTCCTTATAAAGTTAAGTCTGGTAAGTGCAAAACAGGTCAAGAAGGCAAAATAATATGTGTAATGCATTAGTCATTCCCAAAGGCCTTCTGAATCTGACAGATTTTCTCGGAAAACTCGAGAATAAATAAAAGCTATAAATTCATTATGTCTGTTGATTCAATTCTATGAATGTGTAATATATTTTAAATAGATTCTTTGACAATAGTAGATGCCTCCTTGATTATTCTCTTTTATTTATGTCACAAGAGTACTTTTCTTCAAATAAATTGTACAATTTTTTAGATCAGATATGAAAAATTTCTTGTAGTGCAATTACTAAGGAGTCGTAATGTAAGGTTTCAAATTTTTCAATATTCATAAACTCTTTTATTTTTCTGATTCATTTAGACCTGTGTATTCCCTGACTCACCTTTATATATCACAAACATACATGAAACTATTTTCAAACCAACTAGAATCGCCAATTTTATTAGTTTTTCTAGCACCAATAAATAAATTCAAATTTGCAAATGTTTTTCAGTGATCAATAAAAGTCTTAATTGTATATTATGGAATGGCGAGAAGAAAAGAGATTCTTTAGATTCCTTTGAAGCTTGTTTACGCATTGTATTTTTTGCTATTGATAAGTGTTTTCATGGAAACATCTTTGTTGTAAACAACACGACTAGAAATCGTTTATTTTCATATCTTTTCTATCCTAACCCAACCTTTTGATCTTGCTGTCATGTTTTACAATAGATTTTGAAGGTATAGAACGAAAGTGTGCGTAACTTGTTGAATTTGAACATCACATTAAATTGATTCAATAAGCAAATGTACTCTAATGTCTCGAGTATCGTTTAAAGGTAAAGAAACTTGTTCTTGGAATTATAGATAGAGAGATTCGGTTTCAAAAAACAATTTGTGTCAGAATTGATTGATGATAAGGACTAAAATAAGTCTGGGGATTTTGGGAATATCTTACCTCGGCCACGTGTATACTCCAGATACCTCAAATCCATAATGCCAAGCACCGGAATATGCACCTTGATTCTTTGGACCCGTACACACACCATGTCCGTGTGCTTTACTATCCTCCCAGCCACCACAAAATGTCCCGCCGTCCTCAAAATCAAATCTCCCACCACTTATTTGGGTTTTGTGTTGCTGTTGATTTGGATGATGAAGACTGCTCGCTTGTGCTTGGGACGGTAAAGGATCTTGCATTTTCTTATTCTAAAAATTTTCTATTTGGCTTAATTTTATAATTATGATTCACTTTTCTTTTGATATCTTCTTCCTCTTCTATCTCGCTGTCTCGTTCCTTCTCGTTCAGGTTAAATTTGAAACTGAATCAAAAGTGAAATCTCTTTGATTTGTGTTGATAGTTGTTGATTGTTCATATCACTTTTGGTCACATCATTTTCATTTATACTAATTGACTTTCTGTGATTCTCACAAACTTCAATCTGATCTTCTGTTTCTTTCTCTTTTTGCACTTTTTCATTAAATTTTTTATTCATTTACTCGAAATTGAAACTTTTATTCTGCATACATAAACTTCTGTAATTAAAAAGAATATGGAATCAATTTTCATATTATTGCTATCGTCGACTATAGGCGTAAGCAAAACAGAACTGAACCAGAAACACCTAAACACATTAAGAAAAATTTGCAAATATTTTTTTTTTTCGAAAAAAAAACTGCTATTTTCTTTTCTTTTTTCTTGCTCCTCAGGTTTTTCTTTCTTTCTTCCTTTCTCTTTTATTTTCAAAAACGAAGAAAAAGATTCTGATAAAAATAGATGAACATCACTCTCTGTTATTTTACAATAGATGAAATTTTTGTTCAGGAAAAATCACTTTTATTTTTTTTTCTTCTCTTTTTATGATTATTTTAGATCCATTTCATTCACTCTTTTCTGGTGTTCACTTTTTTGATTTTTATCTTTTGTGGATTTTTATATTTATGCATGATTATCGTGGAAAAATGAATAAATTTTTTATAGATTTTCAAGAGTATTTTAGAGTTATTTTATGACTTGGTTTAATTATTTAAAGCTATTTACATACTTTTGTGCTAGTTTTGCAATTAAAATTACTTGAAAAAGTGAAAGAAGTGGAAAAGTGGATGAAATATTTTTTAAAAAAAGACCTTTGAACTCTAGCCATGATCAGAATTAAGATGAAAATATTCATGCGAATTGAGCTTATTTACTTATGACGTCTAGTATTTTAATAGGTTTGGAAAGCGAGGATGGTGGAATATATTGTTGGGTAACTCAAGGCATTTTTCTACGTTTTGATATCAGCGATTTTCCAACAATTTTGCAGATTTTTAAACAGAATTTGAAACAACTTCATCTGTGATTAAAGGAAGACACGCTTCATTTGACTAGAGAACATTTTGTAGTAGGTTCATCCTTGTTCCTCTTTTCATATCTAAATATGAATTAGACTTTAGTTAAAAATTTAACGGCCTGTTTCTCTAAAGTGGATTATCCTCGATTTCGGATAATCCACTTCAGTTTTTTTGTAAATATCTTAAACTTTATGGGAGGTGTGGTATTTCTAATTTTGGATTATAATAGAGTGAACTATGCCTGAAATTTCTGTATACTTTAAACTTTTACTTTTCGTTAAGAACTATCAATTATTCAATTTTCTAGCCAAATCTAGTAGATAACCTTCGATTTTTGCTTTAATTCTCAAACGAATGAAGATATAAAAATTCTAAGTAAATGTTAATTTAAGTAGCAAAGTACTCTTGCTAGATCACACATTAAATCTCTTAATAACCTTAAGCGTCTGGAGATATTTCCAAAAAACTGAAGTGGATAATCCGAAATCGAGGAAAATCGACTTTAGTGAAACATGCCGTAAGTAATTATTAATTTCAGATCGATGTGGATCCGTTTTGTTACATTTTTGATTATTTTTTACAGAAAATATTATTTGAACAAAATTAAATTATGCCCTGTATAGTTTAAATAACTTGAAACCCATAAAAATAATAATATTAATTAAAGGACATGAAAATAATTTTTTGGCAATTTGATTCAAATGATTAAAATGAATTTAAAGTTATTAAAATGTCTTTAATTTGATACATCAATTTGAAAATTTCGAATCTGGGCTTATTTTAACTAAATTGAATTCCCCAAGTAAATCATGCCATATAGAGACTTAAAAGAATTTTTAAAAACGATTGTTTAAGAAGTTTAAGACGTCAAAAGTTAAAAACCTCTTATTCATTGATTCATTACAATTTTAAACGATGAATCAACATAATATGAATTTGCTGAGGCTAGGTCAATGTTTGGAATATAATTCATATGCTTAGCTGAGCTAAAGTGATTAATAACAACAACTAAAGCGAGGTCTAGAGTAAAATTTTCACTTTAAATTCTAAGAAAATCGTTCAACTCATCAAAAATCAAAATCATCTGGATTCTTCAATAATTTTCACTTATTTTCTCATCGCAAGATTAAAGTCATCATCATCCACATATCTGCACACTGTACTCCATAAAATTATTTTGTTTACATTTAAGATTTCTGATACGATCTAGCATAAGAGTAAACATAAATTTCTCATCGAGTTCCTACACATATATTCCTAAATAAATCACATTCAGCATGTTTCTGTGCCACTTTTCTTATTATTTTTATTCTCCTTATTTTATGAGGTCAATCTTTTCTAAAGTTCACTTTTGATGTGTCACATTTCACGTTCGTACATCTTTTTCATTCCACACAAATGTATAAACATGCGAGTAAATGATATCTAGTTTATGTAGGTTATATTCTATTAAATGAGACACATAAAATACACTTTTAAGTGGATATGTATAAACACAATTTAGTCCCCAAAAAAATTAATTAAAAATTAATTTGACTTTTTTTTTATATTCAGACATGCCATTTTATTCTATCCGCGCGTTATGTACACTCTCTCATTACTTAATTATTTACGTTTAGTGCACATGAATAATTGAAATTCGTATGGCTTAACAGGTCTCAGCTTTCGAAATTTGTCATGAAAATTTTTTTCTTTTCTTTTATAAAATTTGATATTTTTTCACTAGTGAGCAAAAAAAAAATTTTCTTTCATCATTTCGCATATTTTTTCACATTAACACAAAGCTATACCAATAAGGTTTTATATCAGTTCCACTTTAATCCACAAATTAATTAGCAAAAGTTATGTTTCATCACTTAAATGTGTTACAATTGTCACACTTTATATTATTATTATTTTTTATTTATACATTTTATTTGCGTAGCTATCACACTTATGTACATGACTATAATAAAATCCCCATATACTCCTTCTTCTTCATGCTTTTTATTATTCTTTCCTCCATTATATCAACGATTCACTTCCGTACAATTTTATTTTCTTCTCCTTTACTCACTTTTTTCATCTTTCATAATCAAAAAGCAAAAGAAAAAAAAATGAAAGAAAAATTTGCGAGGATTTTGTTGCGTTTTGCGAGGCCACTGATGCTTTAAACTTCGAAAAATTCACTAGGTATTATATAAATAAATATCAGGCACGGCTAGAGAGTTATATCTTTATATTTTTAGCGTATTTTCTCTGTACATGGACTGTCGGTATCCTCATTTTGTCTTTTGTTATTGTTAATGGAGCATAAAGCTAATTGTTTTAGCATTAATATAGATGGAAGTTCACTTTGATCATAGTTTCATTTAATTTGTTTCGAGATTGTAAATTTGCAACATTTTAAATTGTTCACTGGTTATTCATGTAATTTAAACTAGATTCGAATCTTAAAAATTTATAAAATTGCTTTGAATTGTTGAAGATATCAAAAGTGCAATTTTGTCTGAAATCTAAAGTTTCGCGCCAAATATTTTTTTGCTGTATTCTTGATAGCTAATATTCTTTTGTAAACTAGGTAGGTTAGAGTTTTAAAATAGATAGACAAACTTTTATTCTTTAAAGTTTATGTCAAACTTAGGTTGCACTAAAATCCGGAGTTTATATAATAAAGTCTGTTTATGCTTAATGCTCTTGATAATCCTTATTAAATCAATAAAGTTCTCGATATCTAATTAGATTTGAAAGAAAGCGAATTATCCTGTTTTTTTTTTTTTGTTTTAAGCTACTACTCGTTACTAAGCTACTAGTGAGCTTAAACTCCTTGTTAAATCTACTAAGCTACTAGCTTATAAAGAAAAAAAGGATAGCTTGTTTTAAGCATGTTTTAGCTATCCTCTGTTTATCAAGCTTGAAACAACATTTAAAAGCTTTTAAAAAACCCATTTTCGAGTTTTCTGCTCTCAGGACATTGCATGTGAAATTAAAATGGGCAATTTTAGGGAAAAAAATTGCGTGAAAATTCCGCTGAGTCATCAATTTAAATATTCCGTGACTAAAGGAGAAAAAGTTTAATGACTATGACTTGTTGCGGTTAATTTGAATTACAATAGCTCTAGTTAGTGCTTCTGAAAGGAAGAAAAGTGAGCTAATTGATTGAATTATCAAATAATTTTTGTAATCTTTAAATCTAAATTCAGAACAATACTTAGAAGAGGAATGTTATTTTAATGAATTAAAATTTGGTGGGAAAAGCTACGAAGTTCTTTAAAATTACTTTTCATAAATTCTTATTTGTTCATTCTGGAATGCACAAATATTACTTTGGTGTGTAGAGTTGTTAAATTTGTATACTGTTGTCATCATTGCCAAGATTTATGAGATCAATTGAAATCTATGTTATATATATAATTTTAATCAAAAGTCAAGTCACAAATTATTAACAACTTTAAGGATCAAAGAGCAATTAGGAAGAAAATACGCTTTCTTATCAATCTGATACAACATTTCAAACTTGTTCCTTTTTCTTTTCATCTAGCCATGTCTTTGTATGCAAATAAAGAGAAAAAAAGAAGAAAATCGAGAAAATACAGATCATTTGCTGAGTTTTTTCATCTCTTTTACGAGGAATTTCCTTTTTTTTGAAAAATTTCTCTTTATTTGAGTGAGTGAGCGAGAAGTGCTGAAGAATAGAAAGAGAAAAAAATTTATAAAAATTTTACAAGTCGACAATCATCATCTGTGATTCCTAGTGCCTAAGCATACCAAAAAAAAAAACCTTTCAAAAAAATGAAAATGTTAAAAAAATTAAACTTAATAGTTTGCGAGACATGAACGAGAAATTAATGTACATAGCTATACACTTAATACTTTTCCTTTTCGTCATAGCACCACTAGCACACAAGTTTGTATTGTGAATAGCATGTACACTCACGTTAGCGTTATTTCGGAAGTTAATTAATGAATTTTGAAGGTTAATGGTGCAATGAATATTATTTTTCTTTTTATTCTTAGCTCATTTTGCCCCGTATAGCTCTTGCTTGTTGCTCCTCACAAACTCACTCACTTACTCAATATTTTTCAATGTATTCTTCTTTTTCATCTTTCCCTTTCGCTTGCCACTATAAATTAAAATATCTCAATTATCTACTGTCGTTGATTTCTTACTTTCTAGACATGTCAATTAATTTACTCGTGTTTGCTCACAAAATTATTATTATTTCTATTTTTTGTAATTTTTATATGATGCAAAAATAATAATAATAAAATAAAATAAAACTTTCTTCCTTCTTCTCCTTAAATACGATTATAATGATGAGAGTCACTGTGTTTTTGTTCGTTCGCTCGTTTAATTCGATTATAACTAAATGGACGTTTTTTGCAAAAGCAGAATTTTCCTCCTCTCTACCTATTTAATATAGGATAGATTGTATGTATGAGATATACAAGACACACGACAGTTAGTTGTATAAAGATAGAGCGTAGATGTGTGCTCATTAATATCAATACACACGGTCAGATCGGGAAAATGAAGCTAATGTATGAGTATTTACTCTCTACATCTCTAGCTTTTTCCCTATTTTTTTTTTCATCCCATCCCGCATTACAATGTCTGAATGTCTACAAGTAGACAAAATTCAACGAAAAATAAATACTATTGAGGATATCTTATTCATATAAATAACATCATGACGACGATACTTATATTGATGACTGTAGCGATGACGATTTATTTTATTTAATAAAATGAATAATGTTTGATGTTTGAACCTCAAAACCACATCACCACGAAAACGATTTTCCGCTTGATATGATTTGCAAGCTCAAAAAAAATTTCTTAGAAAAATAAAGTTTGAAAATTAAAAGGAAAACTCAAGATTTTTCACCTTAAGGCTGTGACAAAATCTAAAGATGAAAATAAAATAAAACTTGTGATTTTCGCTATGGTGATGATTAAAGCTTTTTAATTTCAGACTAATCATCATCATTTGCGTCTATTAGGTTCCTTTATTGTCGAAAATTTGTTTCATTACTCTCACATGATAAAGAAAGTAAGTTTCTGGGGAATTTCTACAGATGTCTTTATGTCTTACTTCAATACATAATTTTTAGCTTAGTATGGCTTATTTTTCGACAATAAAGGTGTTTTTAGATGTAGTAAATGTAAGGAATGATTTATTATCTCGTGAATTTGTTAATTCTTTTACTACTGGATCTTTAAATCCTTAAACTTTTCTAGTTTCTATTTTTTGAATAAAAAAATAATTTTGAGCATTAAAATGTAATTTCAAACTCAATTTTGTATATTTAATGTCTTCTTCAAATACATTCATTTTAAACATCCAAAAACTAAACCTGCATATCAAAAAAACATTTTTGAAAGCCATTTGATTTTCAGCATATAAGAAGGAGATAAACACAAAGAGAAAAGTGCTATAAGAAGAGTTGTTTGGTTTTGCTTCATCAAACCGACGTCTTATGTAGCACTACAACATCAGAAAACATTTGATCGTCCCTTTAGTGAAATTTAAATCAATAAGAAAATTGTTGGAACTAAAAAAATTCTCCAAGCAATAAATTTCTTAATTATATTCTCATTTAAGCATAGAAATTCATTTTAAAAATTAATTACGGGCTAATCATATTGTTTACTTTAATGTTTTCTAGGTAACGACCTTTCTGTATCATCTTGTAACTTTATACATGAAACAGTTCAATTGCAAATATCTGGAAGGTCTTTATGGGATATTTTCAGTGAAATAACGATAATCTTTTTCCAATTGATTATGTTTTGATACTGTTACTAAGCTTTATGCTTGGAAATACAATCAAAATTGGAAAAAGATCCAATAAAAGCTTATGAAAAGAGAATATTTAAGTAACAAGTTTTGTTCCAGCTTTAAAGCTTATAACAAAATTAGAACCTTTACTTTCAAGTGCCAGCTAGGTTTATAAATATTTAAATGCTGAATTCATGATGACGACAATTTGTAAATTGACTTTAAAGCTTCCTGAATAATTTATAAAATTGTACTATTTTTAAATCTCGAAAAATGTCTAGTTCAATATATCAACAATCATACAGGATATTGAACTCTATAGGCTCGAGCCTACAAAAACGTCTAAAAACGGAATGTTTAATTTTAATTATTTTTCCTGTTACTTTTAATCGATTTTTTAAATAATGAATGTTGAAGATTCTTCGACGGTGGACTTTCATTTATTCAACATGTTGAAATAGCACCGCTTTTATTGTGAATTCATTAATTGAACCCTTTTTTTATAGAAATGATTCAAGTAACATATTTTTTAACTTGTTTATGCTTCTGAATTGATAATTAATTATTAAATCTTTAATGAGCTAAGCTTTTTAAGTTTAATTATGAATATTTGACAAATGACTAAGGAACTTCGTTGTTTTGCTATTTTTTTCCTATTTCGAAAGTTTAAGACACTTTTCACTTGTTAAGGAATAGAAGCGGGAGGGGTAAAATAATAAAAATTTTTAAGTATTTGATTATCCTACATTTCTTTAAAAACTAAGGTTCGTTATTTCGTCACAAAAATTGTGCAAAACTTAAAAATTTAAGAAAGTTTGAATTTAAAGAAATCCTTAATGACCTTAAAGTTGAATTTGAATTATGAATTACAGTTCATTGTAAGGATGTGGAATTGCACACAATTGCTAGCAACATGGTTGATCAGTTTCTCAATCTTGGTGTTATAGTATGAATTTTAAATGACTATTGAAAATCTAATATTTTAAAGCAATTTAAAATCTAATCCACAGAATCACCCATTTCATAAAATTTATTCAAAATTTATTTCCACTTTTCATTTCTATTAAGGAAGAGTAATTCTCAAGAAAAGTTAAATTGCGACCTTTTCGGTGAATAAAACATAAGACTTCATTATCATCATCATTTGCTTAATGAATGCGAAAAAGAGGCACCAACAAAAAAAAAAAAGAAGAGCGATGAAATTAAAGAAGGCAGAAGAGAAGTTTTTTAATTACAAAAGTTCTCAATTTTTTGTTTACACGAAATTTTATCTCAAAAATTGAAGCATAAGGATCATATTAAACATTTATTAGCTATGTCAATTTTTCACGGTACCGTACACACACAATATACAACTTTTTTTGTTGATATAAACTTCGGACATTTGTCCTCAAAACAATAAATGGCACGAGAAAATCTTTTAGACTTTTCAGTGTTTTTTTTTTGTCTTTTCTTTCACACACCGTTTGACTTTCACATATTTTTCTCACATTTTTTTTTATTATTTTTTCGCTCACATTTCACATACACAGTCAGTATCTTTTTTTTCTCAATTTTTTTTTGTTCCCAGAAAGATTTTTATTTTATTTTATTTCTTTTTATTTGCCCCAAACCAGCAAGCATTAAAGCATTGATGTTGAGCCAGGGAGAAAGAAATAGACACACACGGACGATGTGAGAGAGAAAGAAAGAGAAAGAGAGAGAGAGAGCAAGAAAATGATCGCGAAGTATAAATACTTTCAGCTGGTTCTCTCGAACTCTATTTCGTCAAATGAAAAACTTTTTTTTTTGAAATATATTTTTTTATAGCTCTGCCAAATGTCGAGTGAAAATTTCTTCGTATTCACTGTACAATGGAAGTCAATAAATACCATATTTCACTAAACTTGAATCTTATCCTGTATTACGATTTTAAATGGCGTATATTCACTACTGCGATGCAATCTAATTTTTTTTCGATTATTTGCGGATATTCAGGAGAGAGAATAAAATACTTTATTATACTTTCACGGTATGGCACAAACTCAACACATGGAAATATTGAAGAAAAAAAAAATTCCTTTTCGATTTTTGCTGCTTTTTTTCGCATAGGAAAATTTTTCTTTTCTTCTATATCTTTTGCCTCTCTATTATGTATTATATATTTATTTTTTTTTTACATATTCGAATTTCCACTGCGACATATACACTGGCTTGCAAGTCGCGTAAGAGAATGAACAACTTTTTTGCTTTGCTGCTTTCTCGGTTTAAATGAAAAAAATGCGTGATTTTCCTACATAAAAAAAAGTTTTTCCTTCTGTGGTTGTGAATTTTTCTCACGAGATAATTTTAAGCATGTGTTGGAAAAATTGGAACTGAAAATTTTTTACTCACCGTGAATTTTCCAATGATTTTCGAATATTTTGAGCTTTCAACTTGAAAGCTTACTTGAAAGCTTTTTAAACTTTTGGAAACCGTTAAAATCTCAGCAAACTTTAATTTTTTTTTCAATTTTCAAAAATCACCAAAAATGTCAAAATCAAATTTAATTTTACGAACCTTAATTGCCTCTACAATTTTCGGACTAATTGGATACTTTGCTATGAAAATCGCATATGCTTGTATTGATGAAGACATCGACGATGATGATGAATATTTCTTTGATGTTGAAGAGTGCATGCAAATTGACAGGAACAAGAGAACGGATATGGTTGGAGATGTAGATGTTCCAGCAGGAAAAATATAAAATCAACAGTTTTTCATTTTAATTTCCTCAATAAAATCCAGAATACTGATGATAATTTGAGTTTAATAACCTACAGGTCTACTACGAACAATTTTAACATTGACAATGAATTTTTTATTTCCTTTCTCATTGTAACATTGCATAATAGAGCTATTATAGTAGTGCACCACTTTTTGTTAAGTATTCATACAGACAAAACAAAAAATGCAAATGTCAATGATATGCCAGCATAATTAAATATCTTGTGCAGGTTTTGCATTTCAATTGGGACATAAATGCGTTTTTCCTTTCGTTTGAAACAATAACATAAATAAAACTACCCAGTCGGGGGTTTTGTGGATGATTTGAGGTCACCAGTAGTAGAAATTTGACTTATTTTGATCAAGGAACCAAGTTTAAACTGCTTAAATGACAAAAATATACAAATGTATCTAAAATCTTTTAATTAATAAAATCTATTTTAAAACATTTGTATGGTTTTAAGGTAGACATTCAAATCTTCAAAAGAAAGTTCACAGTAAGTTCCCCACGTGGACTCGAACGTTTTTAAAAATAATCAATTTATGTTAAACACATTCACAAAAGAAATTAATTAAAATTCAAAATGCAGCGTAGTTACGAGGAACATTATCATCACGCCTTTGTTGTTTTGGAGATTAGCACAGAAATATTATTACAAATAGTCTACCAATGCATGAAGTATAAAAGTCAAGCTATTTTTAACATTTCTTTAATTCAATTCCATCGGCTTCATAAGTCAACATAATGAAAGTTTTAGTGGCAGTTCCGATTTTATTTTTAATTTTACAAAGTTGCTACGGGAATTTTTTGAATGGATTATTTACCAGACCTAATACTATGAGTTCGAATCAATGTCAACCGAGTGGAAATGGAACTCAAAGAATTGTTGGTGGTGAGGAAAGTCCTGTGCATTATCCATACCAAATTTCTCTTCAAATGAGTTCACGAGGTGAGTTTTGTGCTTGGAAATGTAAAATTTCTTTGGAAACATTTGAATGGTTTTGAGAAATTAAAATTCTGAATTTGATTTTGAAAAAATAAGGTGGCGGTGCTGGACTCTTTTTCTTCTTGCAACCAAAATCCAATTGGTCACATTTCTGCGGGGGAAGTGTCTTGAATGAGAATTACATAGTTACGGCTGCACATTGGTAAAAATGATTCATCAAATTACTTTTAAATCAAGTCAGTTAATTTCGTTACTTTTCACACAGCGTCAAAGGATTCAACATCAGTCGCATGTCTGTTTTAGCTGGAACCAATGATTTACGTAAAGAAAACGAAGGTTCTCGTCATTTAATTGATGATTGCGTGATTCATCCAGAATATGTTGAATTAAACAATAGTGACGTTGCTGTCTGCAAGCTTAAGACTCCATTTGTGTTTAATGACAAAATAGCACCGATAGAGCTTGACAAGACTTATGTTGAAAAGGAGGAATGCTTGTAAGACATTTTTTTTTGATTTTGTATCTGCTGCATTTACATGATTTATGGTTTATTAAAGATTAACTGGATGGGGATACACGACAATGATTCGGGGATTTCCACTGCCAACAAAACTGCAAAGAGTCAAGCTTCCAACAATCACAAACCAGGAGTGTAATGATAAAGGAATGAATGTTGGTCCGAGAGAAGTTTGCACACTTTCCAGGTAGAACTGCCACTACAACTTCCTAAATTTAATTTAACTGACATATTGATGTGCTTTTTTGTAGATTCGGACAAGGAGCTTGTGGAGGGTAAGTTGTAACTTAATAAAATACAAAATTATTTTAAATTTCCTGTTCTACCGACCAATTTTTGTTGCAGTGATTCAGGCAAGTTTATAACTTATTTTTCAATAATAGTCCACATAATAATTAATTAAATATCCTTTTTACAGGTGGTCCATTACAATGCAATGATAAACTTGTAGGAATAGTCAGTTATGGCACTAGAGTATGTGCTATTGGCAAGCCAGATGTTTATACGAGTATGTAACATATTGTACTTAATTAAATTACCTGAACAAATGAATATGACATGATAACATAATAACTAATGACCTTATTTGTAACTTTCAGGAAGCTCAGAATATGTTGGTATGTTGAAATAATTAATAATGTTCTTAATTATTATCATGATTGAGATACATATTATTGAATCTAATTATAGATTGGATACAGGAAAATTCTATGTGAAACGTGTAGATAAATCAGAGCATCAAATGATTGTAAACGGAACTTTATTCTATGACAATTTTGATGAAATGATTAATTTGGTTTCGATGAAGTGTAGATGGATCGGAATCATGGACTAAATGAATATTTTAGATTAAGATTAAGTTTAAGTGAACAATTTTGAGAATAGGAAAATAAAACTGTATAAATACAAAATGCTATTAAAAGATCGTTAACAATTCAAGGTAAAAATTCCACTTCCAATTTGGATCCAGGTCCTCAGTACCGCTTGTTCTGTTGTATTCCGAGATGATCAATTCCGATTTGTCAATGTTAAGATATGTTAAAAGTTCAGTCTGCACCAATTGATTTACAGAAACGTATTCGAGATTATTGGGAAAATGCACAAAACACAAGCACGAGACAAATTCTCCTCACAACTGCTGATAATCATGATTTCCCCATTGTACTTTAGTTTGTAGAATTGCGATTATATCGATTCAAGTTTTGTCTAGGTTATGTACAAAATTTTGCACATTTTGCTCAATTTTGATTTTTTTCGAAATATTAAAAATCATGACTTTTATGAGTTTTTTTCTTAATCTTTCTGTTCCTTTGTTCTTTATATTTACTTTGTTTTTATATTTATTTTTGTCTTGTTCCTCAATTCTAGAACCTCGTTCTTCAGAGGTTAGAAGAAAAATCTCCCCTTTAATTGTTTAAAAACAGTGCATTCAACATCTTAATATAAATCAGTGCATTCAACAATTAATAAGCCTTTCAAATCCCTTTAATTTCTTTTTCTTTCTCAGCTATAGGTTGAAAAGAAAGATATTTGAATGAGATGAAAAACTCAACACCTCGAATTCATGTAAAAATCATAAAATTTAAACAAACGCGGTTTGAATAAAATCACAAAATATTTTCAGAATTTTATCAAAATAATTAACAGTTTTAAAAGGAAAGACACGCAAAAAGGAAATTAGGTAAATGTGGTAATGAATTGTGAAATCAAATCAATTTTTTTCAACATCCCTTCAAATTTAAATTCTTTTGAGTTACCATTGAATTTTTTTTCTTCAGTTTTTCTTAATTCGTTGAAGACATGAGACGTGTTTTTATTTCCGTGCGCGAATTAAAACAATCAAAGCTTAATTCAGTAGTGATGTTAAAGTGATGGAACTAAAATTTTGGAAGTGAATTACGTAGTTCTTTTTGATACAGAAAAACAAAGCTGTAAAGAAAAAAAAACATTAAAACTGTGATGAAGTGAAAAGTTTAATTAAGCGTTTTTTAATTTTGTAAAATACGACTTCTAAGTATAAGGATATATTTAAAAAAGTTGTTGTTCTATAATGTAGTGTCTCTGTGAAAGATTCTGTGAATTGTTTCTAAGCTAAAACAGCCTAAAATACTTACATAAAGCTTAATGATGCTCTTTGGAAAAACTTGTGGACGAGAAACTGTGCTTGATTGTGAGTTTGTTTATTTTTTTCTTTAATAATAATGTTCAGTGCTGTCTGTTGTATTTAATTACTGTACTTACTATTTTAATAGACTCAAATTGAATCAAATTTTTTAAATTGTGTCGTTTTAAACAAATTTTATTATTTGAAGTATTTCAAATGAAAATGTGTCTTAAAAATTTACAAACAGTTTAAGGTCAATTAACAGTTTAATCATGTCACGGGATGGCTGTTTAGCTTTATAAATTCATACTTTGATAAAATTGAAAATCAAACTTCAAAAATTAATAAAAATCTAAAGAACACTAAGAAATTCAGTTTGAAGTTATACTATATAATATGTCTTTCATAGTCTTTCATAGTATAAAAATGTCTGTTGAAGGAATGTAAAATAATTTAGTCCATTCAATAAAGGATGACAATGTCATCATTATTGAAATATGAAAAAAAAAAAAATAGTGATAGTCCTGAAAACTTTATAAGGTTTAATTAAGAAAGTCAAAAACTTTTAATTAGTTTTCTATGTTTTATTTTCTTCATAAATAAGTTTTTCATTTTTAACAAAAATTAAAAGAACATATATAAAGGAACAAACAATAATGCAAATGGAAATCATTAAGGAAACATTAGTTTGGAAAAGAAAAAAATTATGACATTATAATCAAACACACGAAACATTCTATTATATTATTTTTTTTTGTTTCTTGTTAACGGCATACAACCTTGAACATGTTGTGCTTCCGTTCGCTTAAAAATTATATGCTCTTAAGTGCTTAAATTCTTACATTTTCTTTTAAAAATCAGGAAGAAATAAAACTTTTAAAGTAAATTCACAAAACGGATTTTTTTTGAGCAAAAAAAGTTTTTTTATGGAAGTGAAAAACTTTCGATGCGAAAATTTTCTCAATTATTTCGTTTTTTAAATGATTTTAGTACACATTATCCATTTTCAAAATGCATTTAAGTTTGCTTAATTTTTTTTTTATAAATAAATTGTACGTTAAGTCAGAGATGCATAAAGCAGCATTAAGTTGTAATATATTTTTATTAAAAATTCGCTTCAGGAGACGGTATGGGAGACAATTTGATATCATAACTACTTTAGATTTTTTATGATGACATTGAGAAATAAAGAATTGACAGTGATGGGATGATTCAGTTCAATTGGGATAAAAGCATCAAATAGAACCTGATTCATATATCCAAGTCAACTTGAATCTACTGAGTCATTTTGATTTGTGTCAATTCTATTGGCTGTAATTGAGTTTTTATTATTGATGCTTTCTATGTCCAACACAATGGTAGACCAGACTGACTTCTGACTGAAATGTCTGATGAAAGTCGTATTAACTTAGCTAATAACCTATTTTAATTGTTATAAGCATTTGTTTCCCTCAACTAATCAATCTTTATGATAATCAATTCATCAAATAACAATAAATGTGTTTAAAGGTCTGTTAATGGACGCAACATTGGAATACTTTCGTTCTGCTTATGGACATGTGGGTATTTCTCTGGATATTACAAATATGCTTTTATTTCCAATAAGATTCAAAAATTTTGCCATATATCATTAAAATAACATTCATCATTAAGAAGTTGTCAGTGAATATGTAAAAGTTTAAAGCTTTTAAGATGTATACAGCATTTGAAAAGCTCTAAAGCAGGAAAAAACTGAAGTTAAAGTTTGAGCTTTCGGTAGTAAAATTTTCGTCATTACATAATTTTTATTGGTTTTTTTTGTCTTCCCGATCACAGACATAAAGCCTGACAAGTTGTTTTTAATTTATGCGATAACATTTTTTCATCATATTTAATTGAAACATTTTATTTTTCTTTAACAAACTTTTAAAATTTATGCTTTTTACAATAAACTACAAAACTTATTTTCTGTACTTCTTTTTACTGCACTTATAACTGCAGTAAATTGTAAACAAAAACTAGTACGAAACATGAAATCTGTTGAACGGAAGAAGAACAATTTTTTCTTAAAAATAGCGCATCTTTTTCCGTAATTGAATGACTAATTTGAAAATCCATGGATAGAAAAACTTCTTCACGATATCGCCTTATTAGAAATGTTGGTCATCGGAGTTCTTGGAAGTTTTGCGATTCCCGTACACAGTAAACTAATTTCACGCTCCTTTTCCATGAGATATTCAACTACATACACATACTTTTGTTGCTTTGCTATTTGAAGTGGAGTGAGTCGATCCTGATTTTTTATCATGAGATCAGATCCAGCTGCGATGAGCTGCTTAACTATAGGAAGATGACCAAATAATGCGGCTGCATGCAATGCAGTCTCTCCATTCTAAATGTAATAACAACAAAATAATGAATAGACATTTTCATTTATAATTTAAATTTTGTACTTACTGGAAGAAGAGCGAGATTTGGACGGTATTTGAGAAGTTCATGTACTACTGCACTATGACCCTTATGACTGGCTTTGAACAACGGAGTAGCTCCATCGTTTCTAATGGCATCAACATATGCTCCTTTCTGGAGGAGAACTTTTACAATATGATCATGGCCCATTTGTGATGCTATCCATAATGGTGTAGCACCATCTAAACGTGGTTCGTCTACATTAGCCCCTGCTGCTAATAACATTAATAGTACCGTTCGGTGACCATTTTGTGCTGCTATAAAAAGTGGCGTTGCACGATCCTTTTAAATTGATATAGAAATAAAGAAGAGGGAAAAAGTTAAATTTTTTTGTTCAGTTCTCACGGAAACTTGAAAAGTTTGATTGAATTAGGAAGGTTTGATTACCTTCATAAAAGCATTTACATTGGCACCGGCATTTAATAATTCTTTTACAATATTCACATAACCGCCCTGACATGCAATAAATAAAGCAGTTCCTCCATCAACAGATGGACAATCAACCATTGCGCCATTTTTCAAAAGGATTTTTGTGATGTCAAGGAATCCACCTTGTGCTGCAAAAAATAATGCAGTAGTGCCTGTCTGTGAATAAAATGATAATTAGACAATCTCCAAATATTTGTGGCAATAAAACAAAATTTATAAACTTACTACTCTCTTTGCGTTCACGTCAGCACCTTGCTCTAAAAGCTCAAGTACACATGCTGTGTGTCCGCCAGCACATGCAAGAATTAAAGGTGTTGTGTTATCCTACAAAAGTGAAATTTTAGAAATTTAAATACAAGAAATAATATTAGCTAAAATTTATTATGGTAATTTCGAGTAGACATTATCCAGACATGAATTATAAATGTTTAACTTGAAGGTCACAGACATGTACAATGTCTGCTCCTGTTTTTGTTAACATGTGAGATTTTGTGATTTTAACGAAATTTGTTTTCATTATGTTTTACACATTTTAATGAAATTGAGGAAGTAATAGTAGAAATAATAATTAACAGACGTTAAGCAGCATGTTCATATGTTAATTTTTTGATTTGGTGATATTGGCCTTCTTGGTTTTTGAGAAGTCTCTTTTTGAATGCTGTGGGAAACTTAACTAGGTTACTTGATTTATTCTGGCATATACATCAGTGTTTTATGAACAGAAGTGATTATACAGTAATCTGAAAAACTTTGCATAGCACGATATTTAAAAAACTTTTTCAAAAGCACTGTATAATCTAGGGAAAATGCATAAGGGGTTATTCATTAAAGTTTAAATGTCGCCTGGCAGAAATTTACTAGTAATTTTACTGGATAACTTTCCATTTGCTACTTGCTATTTACTAGTCAAAATCCAAGTTCAAATCATCGCCAAAGACCCGCATTTTCACTTGCTAGGTTACTAGTCAATTCGCTTACAATTTAACTAGTAATTTACTAGCAAATTTGTAAAAAAATTAAATGAATATAACCGTTGATTTCCACGTGTTCTTTTGATTTTTTGTTAATTATTGTAAAAGTATTAGAGTGTACTTATTTAAAGTTAATTAAAGTACACTAACACTGTGAAAAAAATAAAAGACTTAATTTAATTAAGTCGAATAGTGATGAACGCCCATAACTCGCACGCAAAACTGAGGAAGATAAATAATTAATTGAAAGTCACATACAAATTTGGATCGAGCTTATAAAGGTGATTTCTGCGCGCTCTTATGAAGTATATGGCAAATGCCAAATTTAGAACAAAATTTTTTATGACGCAAAGAATTCTTTTTATGACGCAAAAAATTCTTTTTGTGACGCAAAAAATTCTGTTTATGACGCAAAAAATTCTTTTTATGACGCAAAAAATTCTTTTTATGACGCAAAAAATTCTTTTTGTGACGCAAAAAATTCTTTTTATGACGCAAAAAATTCTTTTTATGACGCAAAAATTCTTTTTTTGATGATTTTTCGTAAGATTCGAACTTGAGCAGATTTGATTAGGGTTTCTGAAGCCGTTAACGAAAAACGGAAAACGGCCGTTAACGGTACAAAAATTGAAAACGGAAAACGAGCGTTTTTCATTCCGTTTTTCCGTTTTCTCATAGTTCATTCAATGTAGTTTTTAAAAAATTTTTTATTTATTTCCTTTAAAAATTATTCAAAAAAACAGTTAAAAGTTTCTGCAATTGAGATTTATTATTATGGATTGCCTGGAAAGTTTGAAAATCTCATTTCAAGTAGTATATTAGAATCAGAAATGTAATCATAGTTGCGAGTCACGTTTTGTTTGTTGTTTAGATACAACAAATCAAAATCTGGACTCAAGAATTTACAACGGGTTTTTCATATTTGATTTTTATCAATTTTTATGAAAAATACAGGAAATCGATTGGAAAATCTTCAAAAACTTTATGATGCTTTGTTGTGTATTAAGCCGACATCTACAGATGTAGAGCGAATATTTTCAATCTGCAATAATTTTTGCACAAAGATTCGTTCAAGGCTGGCTGATGCATCACCAAATGTTCTTGTTTTTCTTAAGTTTTATTATAATAAAATGAATAAACAGTTATAATAAATGTAAATAGAAATCTACATATTATCTATATGGGCAATTCCACGGATGAGTTGCATTTCGAAAAAAATAAATTTTTGATCCATGTTCTTTAAAAATTTGATTGCTTCAAAAATAAACTTTAATTAAGCTTACACTTTTTAAAACGAGATAAGAATCTTCATTGACTATTAAACTTTTAAAAACAAGGTTCTAAGCAAAGAAATTATTGTTAATTAAAGTAAAAATTGGTTTTTTAAAAATTATTTCCTCACGGATTTGGCTTAAGCGTTGGTATATTACATTAATTGCATTAAAATTATTCATTTTTCTGTCTATCGAGTGTCTTTCAAATCAATTTAAGTATGCAGAATCATAGAAGAGGATAGAAAGAACGGTTAATAAAGACAACATTAATAATTGTAAAGACATCTTAAAGTGGTAAATTTCTGCTTTCATATTCAGAATTCAACATTGTGTGATATACCAACGCTCACAAAAATCCAAATATTTCATTAATTATTAATTAAGGCATGACAAGATACATAAGTTTGTGAAAAAATTGCAGCTGCAAAGTTCTCTAATTAAGAGAAAATTCGATTCAAAGATGAATATTTTGGAAAAATCAATCCGTGGAATTGCCCTTATAGCACAACAATTCTTTATCTTTTGAGGAATATTTCATTTATATTTGGTTATTTAAAAAACTTAAAACGGTCCGTTAACGGCCGTTATTGAAAATAAAAAACGGAAAACGGCCGTTTTCGAAAATGCCGTTTTTCAGAAACCCTAGATTTGATCAAACATTTTACATGGTAATTTGCTAGTAAATTGTAAGTGTAATTTACTAATAGTAAGTTGTTTTAATAATAACTAGTAAATTACAAGTAGTAGAATAGAAAGACTATCAATTTGCTAGTTAGTCTCGCTAGGGGTCTGATAAAAGTTCAACTTACAAAGCTATAAGAAATCAAATTTTTACATTTATCCTCGCTCTGTAGCTTAATTCCATAAAAATTATGTAATTTGGTTTCAAACTCACCTCATCCTTACAGTCTACATGCACCTTCCCGCTGTCTAATACTTTCTTTAGCATTATTTCATCGCCCCGCAATGCCGATAAATGCAATTGAATATCCGATAATGTTTCTTTCTAAATAATTGAAGCACAAAAAGTGAAAACAAAAGCATTTTATTAGAAAAATTTAAATGTTTATTTTTTTTTTTTATGAATGAAATGAAAAAGAATTACGCAATAATTGCTTGCTATAAATTTCACTCTCTTCTAATTATTCGCCCTATATTCATTCTATTAGTTTCTTTTACTTTTAGTATCGGTATTTACACACAGAAAAATAAGTTTGTTGTTTCACTTGGATGAAGACTTTATTTCGTTTTAATTGATCAAACAATCATAAAATGAATTGAAAATCAAGATATTTGCATCAATCAGCTGTGTGGTTACTGATGCATTATATGAATTTTTTATTGGAAGCTATCGATAACAAATTTGATCAATGACGATTGACATAAACGGCTGTTTCACTAAAGTGGATTATCCTCGATTTCGGATTATCCACTTCAGTTTTTTGGAAATATCTCCAGACGCTTAAGGTTATTAAGAGATCTAATGTGTGATCTAGCAAGAGTACTTTGCCACTTAAATTAACACATACTTAGAATTTTTTTATCTTCACTAGTTTGAGAATTATAGCAAAAATTGAAGTTAATTTGGCTAGAAAATTGAAAAATGAAATACAAACCAAAAAAAAGTAAAAGTGGGTAAAAGTTTATAGTATACATAAATTTCAGACATTCTATTAAAATCCAAAATTAGAAATACCACGCCTACATAAAGTTTAAAATATTTCGGAAAAACTGAAGTGGATAATCCACTTTAGTGAAACAGGCCGAAAATTATTATAAATAAGATTTTGAGGTAAAACAGGAACGTTTCCATCCCTTGAAAATAATACATCTAATGACATTCTCAGCACAAATTGAAATTCAGACATTTAAACATCGGTTTTGCTCTTTTTGTATCAAATTTCATTTCAAATCATAAGTCGGAACATTTTATCTGCTTTACGGACATACACGTGTTTTTACAAACGAAATTATTTAATTTTCTTTCATATTGTTTACTTTGTATAACGACCTATATGATTCAAAAAGATTATTTTCCCAATGTTTACTATACGAATCTGTCTGGCAATTCAGCTCTAAGCAATTATAATTAATTGAAGGAAAATTTTGTTGTCATGAAGTTTTTATTGACGCATTTCCCACAAAATATACTACAAAATTAATGGCAGTTTGGAAATGAAGTGGGTAGCTAAGAGATGTTTAAACGCAAATGTTGGATATACACTAGGATGCTGTAATTTACAGGGTGGGTGATTTAAATCAAAATCAAAATCTTTTTGCAATGATTTTAAAAAGGGATTTTGATTTAAATCATTTTAACCAGAGTTTGAAAATAAAATGAAAATTGCTCTATTTTGAAAATAAATCAAAATGAAAATTATGAAAATTGCCAATTTTGATCAAAACAATTTTGCAATTTTGTCAATTTCAGAAAATTGCAATTTTGGAAATTGTTTATTTTCCAAAATTGCAATTTTGTATGTTGTATGAAAATTTTCTTCTTTTAAATGAATTTTTTCTTCAGAAAAACAAAAGATACAGTTTATTTCCTGGATGTTGATATTCGTTTTTATTAAAATTCATAATTTTCATTTTGATTTATTTTCAAAATAGAGCAATTTTCATCTTATTTTCAAACTCTGATTTTAACCCAAGTGATTTTTTTCTCGATTTTAATTACAATTTAATCATTTATGAATATATGAATCAAAAATCTTGGTATTTACTTCTGTTTAATTTTTTAAATTTATCTCTGTTTATCATAAAGTGTTAAAATACCTCGACCAACAGTGTCAATCTCTAATGACTATCATACTCATTTTCTATATATTACAAATGAAAGGTGGGGATTTAAATCATAAATTAAAATCAAAATCATTTTGCAATGATTTGAAAGATGATTTTTGATTTAAATCATTTTACCCAAGGGGCTGTTCACTTATTACGTAACGCGAAAAAATGACTTCTTAGACCCCCCCTCCCCCCTCGTATCAAAATTTGTATGAAAAAAAAATTTCCTTGTTTGAATCGTAACAAAATCTTAGACCCCCCCCCCCCTCCCCCTAAAAGCGTTACGTAATAAGTGAATGGCCCCCAAGTGATTTATTTTTGATTTATGATTTAAATCATTTTGTATGAAAGATTTATTTGTGATTTATGATTTAAATCACATTGTATGGGGATTTTTTTTTCCGGATTTTAAATCACTTGAAGGTGAAAATTTGTTTGGGAATTTTCAGAAGATTATTAAAAAACATTAATCATTAATCATGTATATCCTTTCTGGCTTTTGGATATTGTAGCATGAAGATGTTGGTATAGCTCTAAATGATAAAGCATGAATGGATCTAGCATCATATGAGGAACTAGTCACTTCCTGTCCCTTTAAAGAATTTTTTGATAAGTTTTCATTGTCAAAGAGGTATACGTTTGTATTTCTTAGCCAGAGGTATGATTAGACACTGGAACTGCCCAGTTCCTTTACATCCCAAAAAAAAATTTTTGTTTCTTTTTAATCAAGGAATCACATCCTGGAACAAAAAAATTTTTTAAAGAACCGACCGGTTCCTTTAGTGGTTGAAGACTGATAATGTTAAATATTAAGTCATTAAAGAATGAAGCACTTTTTCTGAGCATTATCAGTCTTCAGGCACTAAAGGAACCGGTCGGTTCCTCAAAAAACTTTTTTATTCCAGGATGTGATTCCTTGATTAAAAAGAAACAAAAATTTTTTTTGGGATGTAAAGGAACTGGGCAGTTCCAGTGTATAATCATACCTCTGGCTAAGAAATACAAACGTATACCTCTTTGACAATGAAAACTTATCAAAAAATTCTTTAAAGGGACTGGAAGTGACTAGTTCCTCATATGATGCTAGATCCATTCATGCTTTATCATTTAGAGCTATACCAACATCTTCATACTACAATATCCAAAAGCCAGAAAGGATATCCATGATTAATGTTTTTTAATAATCTTCTGAAAATTCCCAAACAAATTTTCACCTTCAAGTGATTTAAAATCCCAAAAAAAAATCCCCATTCAATGTGATTTAAATCATAAATCAAAAATAAATCACTTGAGTAAAATGATTTAAATCATAAATCATTTTTCAAATCATTCTTCATTGAGATTTAAATCAAAAATCACAATTTGATTTGTGATTTTGATTTAAATCGCAAAAAAACTCCCCCACTCTGCAAATGAACAAGGTTCTGTATTTTTGGATGTCGTACGACTGTACCTCAACATTGTTTTTCGATCGTCAATAATTATCAAGTAAAATTTATACCGCGTGCTGCGTGAATTCTACCCATTAATTTAATGACACTAGCGTGATTTCACATTTATGTGCACATTATGCAAAAAAAAAATCGTAGTAAAGAATGTTTACATTTACCTTAAAAGAAATAAAGTCCTTAGATTACATCATAAAAGGCAATTTAATGCTCAGTAAATAAGTGATTAATGAAATCCTCAAATAGAATCAGGTTTATTTATTTAAAAGTATGAAAAAGGAGCATTATGAAGGAGCTTAAAAAATTGGCAATATTTCATGTGGATGACTGTTCAAATAAGTCAAAAGACGTCAATGCATCAATTTGACGCCGCACACAAACTGCCGCATTTATTAATATATCCCTTAAAGCTTTCAAACTGATTGATTGTCATTTTCATGTTTTGAACTTGAAATGATAGAGTTGATAGAAGAGCTTAGGACATGACAATAGGATATACGACATAACCATGACCCAATTTTAGTTTAACTAAAGAACTTTTGTACAATGATTGCTGAAGAAAAAACTTATTGCCTGTCCTACTGATATTTACAATTTCGTGATGTTCAAGCATTAAAGAAATGATTTTTAGCAACTCTTGCTAAACTATAAAATACAACACAAATATAAGCATTGAAAAAAGTTATGTTATTTTATTAGACATAACAAACTTGAATAAGCTTGGTGAAACGGAAAACTTTTTTAATTAACTTATCAATTCTTTGTCTAGTTTTTTGACGCAAGTAAAAAGATTTCTGACAGTTATTCAACATGCTGCATTACTTTTCATATTAACCGCTTATAACCAAAAGCTGTTTATTTTATGGAAGTGGTAATTAGCCATTAATTTTATGACAAACGTTTAAAATATGTAAAGCACATAGATGGACTGGAATCAAATTAATATTCCGCAAACAAACTTCCAAAAATCAAAACTTTTATTACCATTCAATTGAGAATCTGAAGAAGAATGCTATTGCTATATGGATGGAACTTTAAATGGACATGAAAACAACAGAAATAACTTAATTTTCTTCATAGAGAAAAGGTTAACATTTAATTTTTGCTAACATTTACATATATTCATATTTATAACTATGCAGTATATAAATCCTATAAAATGTGTAGGATCTGCAATGATTCTACCCAAAAAAATTTATTCATCGATTAAATATGCACGGATTGCGATCAATTTGTTAAATTAATTGCCGAAATTCAATGTTTATTTGCTTTTATTCCGAGAATAACTATAAACCACATTTCTGGCACTTTTAAATTGGAATTCACTAATAGCTTATTTTATTTGCCGTGATAAAAAAAAAATACTGTATACAGATGTACTGAAAATCCATCATCATTGCTTCAAGTAAAACAAATTTTAAAATGTTAATTTCTGTGCAAAAAAGTTTCTTTCCGGAAAAAGAGAACAGTTGTGGGCGAATTTCTTTGAAAGAGTTCGAGAGTCTGCACATTTGCATGAACTGGCATGAACAATATAAATATCTTGTTTCTGAAGAAGCAAAACACAATTTTGCAAATATTCAAATTAAAGTTTCACGAAAAAGGTGTAAATATTTAAGTAATAATTGAAAAATAGCAAGTCGTAATCATAACAAATAATTCACAATGACCTAATAGCAAGCAAGATAATTGTTATCACGTGTTTTCATCCGCTGACGTGTTAAATGATTGATACAATTTGCATAAATACTCACTTTTAATGACATGTTTTGTGTTTTCTGTATCTATGAACGCCCCGCGCCTCTCTCAGTAACTTAAAGTCTTATATTCTCACACATCAGACCATTCATGCAGACTAATTGTGTTACAGCATCAATAGTCTCGTTACCGCACGTCGGTATATGGATACACAATGTATATAAAAGTGTTTTTATTAAATGTCTTGTAATTAGCTACTTGAATTAAAATCTACATGAGAAAAGAAACAAGAGCACACGAATCAGTTGATTTATGTCTCAATGTACACAACAGCAATAATAATCATTTTCATGAGCATGTAGAAATAATGGACAAAACACGCAAATTAATTCGTGTGAGCATTTTTGAGTAGTTGAAACTAAAAAGCACAATAGATAATTCTTCATTCATGATTGTGAGTACGACAGAAAGTATAAAAAAAAATCACTTTGGAACCATACAATGTTGTTTATTTGACTTTCTCTGACTACTGTTTATAGAGTCAACCGGAAGAATAGTGGAAAAGAAGTTAAAGACGTCGATGAAAAAGTCACAAAAAAAAGTAAATGTTTGTTTTTGCTCATATAATTGCGTGTACAAATAGCTCTATTGAGATAAGATTAATTTGCCAAATGATGGCTCAAAGAAAGTGATCAATCAAAGTGGAGCATAAAACAAAATTAATTTAAAATTAAACGGCAATTAAACGGCATTTAAAAAAATTGCGGAAGCATGCAAAATATTTCCAAAAGAGATTTTTTTTTTTGTGAAAAGTTCAATAATTCTTTAAGTGAAGTCGTGAAAAAGTTGCGTTAATCGGAATGTTTTGGGAGGATCCGATTATCTGTTGGGCCTGAATATGCTATTAAATGATGATTTTTCTTTTATTTTTTTACAAAAAAAATCTATAACTGGACAAATAGGAACTAATCATTAAATTATTTTATTAAGTTTCCAGAACGCGTTTAACTTTTAATACAAATACATAAAATATGAAAAGGTTAAGTAAGGTTTTGATGCCATCTGAAATAGTTTAAATACTTTTCACATGGCTTTTCCTTGCGAGTAATAAATAAATAATAATAATAATAATAATACAAATTCTGGCACTCTAATCAACATTTAGCATGTAACGTTAATTAGTGTTTGTGTCATAATATTTGATCTAACGTCTGTAGGTCTTAAACTTAAATATATATTTTATGAACGCCTCTTGAAAATTTTAAACAGCTCCAGAACACTTCAAAATCTGTTGACTTCAAAAGTCAACAACTCCGTTGCTGTTTAATGATAATCGGTAATGTGGTCTTGGTTTTCTTTCACTTCGCATAGATAATAGAATAAATAGCACAAACATGTACTTATTGCTTAAGAAATAGAACAAGCAATAAAAATTATAAACACTGCTTTTTATGCACGCGCGAAAAAAAATTAATTGTTCCATTCAATAACATAATAATTCACCCACAAGCTTATTTTTTTTTTGTTTCGTTGTCTGCTTCCAATTGATTTATGAATTGTCAAACAGTTATTAATGTCACCAACATCGCTTATTTTTATGAATTACAACTTTTTTTTAAATAATCAGAACGATAATATTCGGAAAAACTTTTCTCTGTCGTATCTACATATTTACTATATGAATGCATACATCTGAATTCTTCTTTCCCTACCCGAAAAAAAAATAATGATGACAAGCTACAAGCAATAACCGTTTTACTCGTTCGACTCGCGATCAACAACTGAATAGTGAGCGTAAATTATGAATTTAAAAAAAAATCCACTGTAAACAGAGAGCTTTAGTAACTTTAAAAAAAAAAAAAGAAATCATCGGAAAGCAATCGCGTGTGGATGGCTGAAGCGCTGTTTTTTCTCGATTGATGACTTCAACAGTTCATAGTTTGTTGATTCTTCAATTAATGTACAATTAGATTCTACAGTCAATGTATTTGATTTAGGTTAGACCTAAGTTCGAGCTTTAAAGCTTTAGGATGCCGGGTCAACATTTTACATACTCATGGCATTTTTCGGGGTTAAAGATAAGCATTTTAAGTCAGTCCTTTATAGTAATCATAGCTGAACAAAACAAAGTCATCAAGCTTTCAACACTTCCTCCCTCTCCGGATGAAATTTACAGCCAGCCAGTCAATCAGAATTCAACAACTTAGTTTTTATTCAGAAAATGCACTTAAAAAAGAATGAATGAAAACGAATGTTGAGCATGAATGTTTTACGTCAATAAGGTAAACACAGAGAAATGAGCAAGAAACGAACTTTTTTTTCTTAAGAAATTTTAAAGTGAAAGCGAAAACAAGAGTATTTTTTTTTTTTGGCACAGCACGTCTAGAATCGTTAATGAAAATTTATCAATTTAGTAAGTGATCTGCGACAGATTTATCATTTAATGATATAAATCATGTGCGTGTGTTTGGTGGGATGTATGACGTAATTTTTAAAAAAGACCGAATGAAAATGTAAAAGAGAAAGACAGAAAAGCATAAAACAGATCTATATACCTATCATTTTAGAGTCTAAAAGAATGCGAATTTATATAGTCAATAGATACATTTTTCATTATAGATAGTTTATTCATGGCTTCACTTCCTCTTGTGCATAATATTTTTATGGCTTATAGAATTCTATTGTAGACATTAGATAACCAGACTTGTTTGCATATTGCATGTCTATTTTGGTCTTATTTCACGATCACACTCCCCCTACTTTTATGAACAGTCATTCATTCTGCTTCAACAGCCTTTTAACGTACTCAATTTTTCATTTAATAATAAGATGCCAGACATTTGCGAATAGCTCGTGGGAAAATATCAAGTTCAAGGATTAAATGAAATTAGAACTTGCAATGTTGTTATTTGACCTCTGACGAGACCATGGGGTAAGACTTTCCAATTGACTGGCTCTTTCTCTAATCAAATTAACTCTCCATTCCATTCACGATAGAGATTAAATGAAAATTAATTCCCATAATAATCTATCAATGATCTATTTCTCTGCTTTCAAATACTACCTACTATGTATTATCATGCTGAATTAAAGATGCCGCGACAATTTCATTTTTTTGTTGTTTTCGCTTCCATATAGATTAAATTGTACAGTTAAACCGTTGATTATGTTATTTGCTTCTATCTTCTCTTCTTCTGTTGTTTTCTATATTGCAAGAAAGCGCATTCAATTCAATTTTCATTACTTTTATTTTCCTTTATTATTGCTATTTCCATTCTTATTATTATTGCTGTTATAAAGTATGTAAGTTACAATAATATTGGGACCACTTATTAATGACGTCCAGCAATGGTATTGCCATAGATGAGATTAATTTAAAATGTTAAATTTCTGCACAATATATCGATTGATCTAATTTTCAGTTTTTTAGCGGATTCCCACTTGCGATTTTCTTTTATCAAATTTTCATATAAATTCACTCAATTTTAATAATTTTTTTAATGATTCTTTAGTAAAAATCCGGAGCAAAAACTAAGAACAACCTTCTTTAGATTTAAGTATCATAATTTTCAAACAACTTAATATTTTCATTAAGTTTTGTAATAAGATTATAGGTTGGTCTACGTCCTGATTTCTGATAAACATCACAAATGAACAACTCATTCATAAGAAAGAAATAAACCGAGAATGAGCAAATACTTGTGGTGAAAACAACAACATGCCTATAAAAATAATATGCTATGCTTTACAACATCGTCGAATGCCGCGGTAATTTTCACTGCTATTTATAGCATGCATGGTGTAAGTTCTAGCAGAAAAAAAAACTATGCGCTTTAATGCAATCAAGAATGTTGAATGCGAAGAGAAAGTTGTTAATGAGGAAATTCTTCAGGCTTGGCTTTTGACTGAAAAGATAGCATATGATATTGGAAATATTTTATCGCGTGACTGATGTAGATTTTCCTTTGTTAATCATGAGGTTTTGAAAAAATGATTTGTGTTTGAAGTTACAATGATCAATCATATTCAAATGTTGCAGAATGTTACTATTGACATGATTCTTTTTTGTGGTCAATTCTATATATATATATAAAGGTGGACGTAGATTCATTCATTATTTTAAGAAGGGTTAAACTTTCCCAAATATACAATCAATACTCAAATGATTAAAACTGAACAAAGAACTAAAGGAATTTAAGAAAGCCTGTGTGTCGAAGCAAATGTTTGCCAATAAAGTGGCGCATCTTGGCATTTATTTACCCATCGTATTTACCTAAATAACGTTAAATAATCAATACACGGCATAACACCAACAGAGAAGTGTCCCAAAAATTTAAAAAAATTGAGATAATCTTTCTCAGTTCCTACGCAATATACGTGAAGAAAAGAAGCAACTTTAAAAGTTACACTTTATGCATGCATTCTTTCATCTGTTGATTCATGAAAGTGTGAAAATCTGATTCTATTATTATCATCAGTTTTATTTCTATTTTTTATATACGCAACTTCCCGGGAAATGAAGACTGAATATAGAATATGTAGTAAAAACAAAATGCAACTCACGACGGAACTAAAAAGAGCGTGTAGAAATAATTTTAATCATTAAACTCCATCAACACGTTTTTATGGTAACAAAAACAACAACCAGAAGTGCATTTTTAATCTCCATTACTTTATCCGATATATCATCATTAACATGTTGATGATCATTAAAGCAGCTGCTAGTTGGATTTTAAAAACAGCTATTTATGGTTTGAGAATATAATAAAAAGTACAAGTGTGTGGTACGAAGAGATTTTCTTCTTCTTTCCTTCTTTGCACAATGCACAGCACAGGGCAAATCTTTATTATTGACCCAATTTACGGGGAAAAAAAAGATTGAAACAAGTGAAATTCTTGACAGTGACTTCAATTTGAAGGTCAATAATATTTTTCTATGCCTCTATGCGAATCTTCGCTTAATAATTTCGCTGTCAATGAAAAATTATTTTAAGGCATGAATGTGAAAGGGGATTTTTAAAAATAATTCATAAAATCGATTTTTTCAGTCAAATATTTAGCCAGATAATCCCGTCAAACACTCGAGTCTCTATCTAATTCTGTATTTACGCAATCATGATTGATGAATGTCAAGTTTTTAATTCATAAAATAAACTTTTCAACATGCTGAGCATGATAAGAAAAAAAAATATTGTTCTTTGATAAGGAGTGCTACCTTTGCCTTTTAAATGTCCATAATAAAATATTAAATTATTATCAATAGTCTTCTTCTTTCACATTAAAGCTGTTCACACATTATCAGTACTTCTTTTGTCACAACCGATTAATTAAATTACTATTGCGGATTTTTATTTTTATTGATAACAAAAAAAAAATCTTTTTCTTCGTTTGCAAGTGCCGAAAAAGCAATACGAATGATATGAGAGGAGGTGTATGGGCATGCAGGCGAATTGGATGTTTGAAAAATGAAACGTGGGAGAATCCGTTAAACATTTTTGTTCTCACATGTTATTTTATTTTTTGCAATTTAAAGATCTTACAGTCATCAAGCATTTTTGAGTGTTGTTTTGTGATTTGCACATTTAAAACATTCTAAGTTCAATTCTAAATACTTAATTAATATACTTAATTATTCATGTATATATGTAAATATAAATAAATTATAAAAAAAAATAATGATAAATCATTTATCAAACAATCGGCACAGCACAATTAAATTAATTAATTATTTCAATAAGTTTAACTTTTGAATTCGTGTATTTAGGTCGAAAAATTCCATTGTTGAGAAGTTATGCTCCTTCTGGACATCTTTGTTATCTTTTGTGATAGTGTTGAGGCTCTCGAGAGATTTTGATTTCTTTAGTTGAACGGCTTTAATTTTGTTATATTGTGGATTACTGTTATTAACAAGCTGCTGAGCGGCTGTATACTGTATCTCCATTGTATTCTCATATTCCATAGTAGCAAGCGGCTGATTACTTAATCCTTGATTGTTATCTTGACTCTCGGACTTGGTCCGTTGTCTGTGCCTGAATGGAATGTAGTAGGGCATTGATCCAGAACTAGCTCGCTTGCGAAATGAGTGCTTAATCTTGCGTGATGGATAAATCTATACAGGAATAGATTAATAAGTAAATCAACTGGATATTTAAGGCAATTTTAGTCAAGGATCTTACTTGTGATATCGGTGTAACTTGTGGTCTTTGTGTAGTGAAACTTGTAAGTCCCAATTCATGAGAAACAATACTTACAGGAGGCGTAAACGAGTTTTGTGGACTTACATTAGAAGAAGAAGGATACAAAAAATCTATTTTGTTCTGTAATAATACATGTTTTCAGTAAAACAAACATATTACATATATGTCACATTACCTCATCCATTTTGAGAAGCTTAATTATAGTAGAAAATTGGGGGATTAGCTGGAATTCTTCAAATAACAAATTCAACTTTGCACAAAATTTGTAATTGTAAATATTGACATCAAAAACTGAACTCTTTCCAAAAAAAAGTCGTATCCCTCAGAAAAAGTCGGTAAATTCAAAATATAACTGAATTCGTCCTACAAAAGCTAAACGCACTCGAAGAAAAATTAAAAAACCAAAACAAAAGTTGATTATATTAATTACACTAAAACTATTGAAGCTACATTAACAAATCAAATTTTAAACTATGGCTAAGCATCATCCTGATCTCATCTTTTGCAGAAAACAGCCAGGAGTCGGTAAGAACATGAATAATTGCAAATTTCTATGCAAACGTTTGTAATTAATTAAACAACATTCTATTTCTAGCTATTGGACGATTATGCGAAAAATGCGATGGAAAGTGTGTGATTTGTGACTCGTATGTTAGGCCATGTACATTAGTTCGAATCTGCGATGAATGCAACTATGGATCATTCCAAGGAAGATGTGTTATTTGTGGTGGTGCTGGAGTTTCCGATGCTTATTACTGCAAAGAATGTACTGTACAAGAGAAAGATCGAGATGGATGTCCTAAGATTGTTAATCTAGGGTCGAGTAAGACAGATTTATTCTACGAAAGGAAAAAGTACGGCTTCAAACAGCGATAAGTTTTGTGTATCTCTGGAAATTCTATTTTCTAATATTTTTAAATAAATAAAGTTCTTAAACAAACACTTTGTTTTTATTGATGGATTTTCAAGGTGTAATTACTTGATGACATAGTATATTTAATAGTTTCTTGAAAGAACTCCATCCTTCTTGGCCAAACGAGCGATACAATCGTCGGATTCGCCCATTCTTCTGATTTCTCCACAAATAGCGTATGTCTTAGAGGTGTCTAACATGCGTCCAGTGGTTTCATCAACATCAACTAAATTGATTTGGATAGATGCATGATCCTTAGCATGAATGATTCTGTTTGATGCAGAGCTGGAAGTATTTGAGGTTATGTTTTTTGTTATTGTTCACTGTATCCTTTTATTTTACAATTTATGCATTTAAATTAACTTTAATTATTGTCAATCATTACTAATGTTCACTGACTTTTTAAATTAATTATGTAAACAGCTCAAAACACTAGTTTTTAGATTTATTTTGATGCATTTTAAATGTGTAATTTCTGGATATTTACCATTTTCTTGGGCAGTACAAGTCAACGAATTCTCCAGCGTCGTTTTCCATTTTATTTAGCTAAAACATAGAGTTAAAAAGAAGATTATCATAAAATTGAGGCTTTATACCGCTTTAATTATAGTAAAAATTACATTTTTTTCTTGAAGTAAACTGTCTTCAAAAATTCGTGAAATCAAAAAGGGGGAGTCTATATTTTGAATCAATGAGACTCGACTGATTTTTGGGATAGATTAGCGAGGGGGAAAACTATGATTTAAAATTTCAAGCGGCAATTATTTGAATCGAGGACCCATCTGTATTTTGTCAACATTTTTTTGTGTTAATTTAATCTCGTTTTGCGGAAGTAAAGATATCTAGTAGACATTTAATATATTTATTGCAAAGTGACTTTAAAACGATACAAGGCTTTGATTAAAAACTAAATGTGACATAGAAACAGAGAGCAGAAAGAAAGATTATTGAAATAATAATAATTTTACTTGATATTAGTCATCAAATCACCCCATTCATCGGAATTAATCTAATTAATTATTAACTGCATTGTTTCGTACTTTGTGTGTTACGGATCGAAAAGAATATAGCATAAAACGATGCGAGTTACAGTGCTTTATGATTTTACAAGTGAAATCGAAAATGAGTTGTCTATAATCGGTAAATTGTTTGACTGAGTTTGTTGTCTGCTGGATGTTATCTATTTAATCATATTAATACCAACTTTTCAATTTGTGTGAATACAATGTTTTTGGAAGAACCGTAAAATCAATTTATATTTTCAATACTGCTTCAAGCTTACGGAATCAACCCAAAGTATTGATAGTTAAAAGTCTGTGGAATGAAAAGTCATGGAATGCTTCCTAGTATTGATGAAATGTGATTGCATACTGCAGCATACTGTACAAATGGTAGAACTAGCTAAATTATTCACAAGATTCAGCATACTGGATCTTTGTTTTAGGATGCAGACTTGACCGAAACGAATTTTTGGATCTTGATTTTTAGTTTCGGACGTGACTTTGATCCTACTAGATTTTGATTCATGCTTTTGATTCCAGACTTGAGTTATACCTTACTAGATTTATGCTTTTGGTCCCATAACGTTGTCATGCATAGTTTATTAAGATGCTTGGTAAACTTAAAAAACCCAAAACCCCTGCAAACTATAATTTAACTTATGGTGTGAATATTTCCATGAAGCGTAATCAGTCTCTTCATTTTAATTTTGTTATTTACACAGCTGGAGAAATTCTGACTGTAACTGATCCGGACGTAGGCAATGGCTGGTGGGAAGGGATGAATACAAAAGGAAAACGAGGTATTTTTCCTGCCTCTTACGTGGAAGAAATTAAAACTCCAATACGTCCAATAGCACCAATAGTCCAACCGCCAATGACAAATACAAATTCCTATTATAATAATGAACCACTAGCATCGACTCCAGCTGCTGATGATCCATGGGCGACTTCAAGTCCAGTAATTCCTCCATCATACAATAATACACAAGCTTCGCACTCTCAACAACATCGCTATGATTACTCAAACGAGGATAATTATGAATATGACTCAGATTTTGATGATGATGATACTGCAAGTCGATATAATGCTCCAAGTAGCGCTCCATCATCAGCAGGATATACTAATGTGCAATTACCACCTACACCTGATGACACACAATCTATAGCAAGTAGTATGGCTGTTGCTAGAAAATCAAAAATGTTTTCAAAATCATCAGATTCTTATATTATGGGCACTGCAAGTATTACAGTCGATATGAGAGATCAGATTCAAATCTTTATGAATGAACAGAATCTATATTTCTGGAAGCCAATTGATGAAAATTATATAGTCACTGTGACATCACCCAAAATGGAAAGCAAATTTAAAGGCATTAAAAAGTTTATAGCTTATCAACTGACGCCGAGTTTTAACAATGATCCAGTTTCACGAAGGTATAAAAACTTTGATTGGCTGCACGAACGACTCGTTGAAAAGTATTGTCTTATTCCTATTCCACCATTGCCTGACAAGCAAATTTCTGGTCGCTATGAAGAGCATTTCATTGAACATCGTAGAGCTCAATTGCAGGAATTTGTTGACTGGGTTTGTCGTCATCCTGTCCTTTCGAGATGTGACGTTTGGATGCATTTTTTGACATGTAAAGATCAGAAAAAATGGAAAGCAGGCAAAAGAGCAGCCGAGAAAGATCCAGTGAGTAACAAACATCTTATAATTATTTTTTTTAAATAAAACCCTCAATTCCTTTGTCATGCCAATAAACACGTGATAAAATAACTTCCGAATAAGAAATTGGTCAATTAAGCTTGAAGAAAAAGATAATAATATAACTTTATCATTTATCGTTCAATGACATTTTAATTAATATGTATCTTTTGAACGTTTAATTTTAGTTGCAAGGCTCAACATTTTGCGCAGCAATTCGTGTGACACCGGAAAAAGCCTTACTTCCTTCATTTGTGGATACACAAATAGAGTTTTGTAAGAACTTTACAATTACAATGGATGGAGCGATTAAAATGCTCGAATCAGCCAGTGCAGATCAGACAAGCAAATATACGAATATATTCAAAAGGGATTATCAAAAACTAGGAGATTGTTTTAGTGAATGTGCTAAAGCACTAGATATTGATGAAAGACGTATTAATACAGGATTTTCTTTGTCGCAAAGCGTTGGAAATACTGCAGGCATTTTTATATCAATTGGCAAGCTTTATGAGGAACAGGCTAAAAGAGATTGGCAACCATTCTGCGATAAACTGCATGTTTATCGTGGAATTCTTAGCTCGTTTCCGGATATTCTTTCAGAACATAAAAATGCACAGCAAAAACGAAAAGAATGTGAAAAGCTAGCTTTTGATCAGAAAATGTCGAATTTACAAATTCAGGAAGTTAATCGTCGTGTGGACTTAATGACTATTAGCGTCCTAGCTGAACAGTCTCATTTTCGACAAGAACGTGATAGTCACTTAAAATTAACAATGAAGAACTTACTTGAAGAGCAAGTAGCCTTTTATCAGACAATCGTTTCTAAACTCCAAACTGCACAACGCTATTTCGAATAAGTGCCTTAATCCACTTGATTCCTGTCGCTTACTCTATTTTTTATCAAAAAAATAATTCAAGGGCATTCCATTTTTATCATGGAACTCGACATACATTTAATTATTATTATTTTTTCTTGTTTTCAAAAAGCATAAACATATAAGTGTTAATTAATCAGTTTTTTTTTCTCTTTGTTATTTCTCATATCTCTTTTTTTTTGCTCACATTTAACTTTCCAAAAAGCATACTTTATACACTCCAAAGAGGTAACATAACATCAAATATTGTTTTTATGCATTTATGTGTGAAATCAAGTTTATGCTACCTCTTTGAATACAAAATCTTGAATGACAAAAATATTAATTATATTTGTTTCGAATCAATTATCGTATTGAGTTACAGAGCATACTTCACACGTGATCTATAATATTGCGGCCTTTAAAATGAAACAATGCATAAAATACAAAGCTAATAAATATATATTATACAAATAATTATAGCTTTTTTAATTTTCAACTCTCAACGGGTAAATGAAATTCAAATTCAAAAGTTGTTATTAGCAATTCAAACTGAACTTATCCTTTATTTACATTTTTCCATGTGAATTTTCACAAAAATCTATTTTAATTAAATAAAACAATTTAAAGAGATGGTTGGAAAGAAAAAAGCTAATCAATTGGGACGATCCCTAATTAAGGCTCGTTTCAGCAACACACATAAGAGAAAAGTGGATGAAAACATGGTAAAATTCAAATAATGAAAGAATATGTTTGTATGGTTAAAATAATTAAATTTTATTCTAGTTACATGCTGCTGATTTAAATGATGGATATGATTGGGCGAGACTTAATTTGAATTCCGTTGTGGAAGAAGATACATTTCAAGATTTCCTTAGAAAAGCTGAATTAGCTGGAACCGAATTTGCTGCTGAAAAATTAAACATTAAGTTTGTTAATCCAAAATCAAATGTTGGAATCTTGACAGATACTGAAAAGAAGGATATGGATGTATTAATTAAAGCGAATGAAAATTTATTAAAAATTCCACGTCGTCCAAAATGGACAAAAGATACAACACTTGAAGAATTAAATGCAAATGAAAGTAAATCATTTTTGGAATGGAGACGTGACTTGTCATTATTGCAGGAAAACGAAGGTTTAGTAATCACTCCGTATGAAAAGAATTTGGAATTTTGGAGACAATTATGGCGTGTCATTGAAAGATCGGATGTTCTTGTGCAAATTGTTGATGCTAGAAATCCATTATTATTTAGATCAGAAGATTTGGAAAGGTATGTAAAGGAAGTGGATCCAAATAAGCAGAATATATTGCTACTCAACAAAGCAGACTTCTTAACTGATGAGCAGAGAGATTATTGGGCTAAATACTTTGATGATCAGAACTTGAGAGTTGCCTTCTTTTCAGCCATTGAGCCTGTAGATGATATTATTGAAGAGCAATCAGAAGATTCACAGGAATCAGACAGTGAAAGTGATGAAAGTGATCAGGAACAGTCAGAAAATGAAAAGCAAATATCACTTGACACGCTAAAAGAAAGAGTTGAGGAAATTTCAAATAATATAAATGAAGCTGAAAAGGAATTAGAAAGCATAGTTAATGAGCCAATAGAAGTTCCTGAAAATTCAATAGTAGAGGCAGCATGCTCAAATTTTACGGATAAAAATAATCCAAAAATTTTAACACGTTTGGAACTAATCGAGTTCTTTAAAGACATAAGAAAGATTCATCCGGCATGCAAAAGCAAGGACAACATTGTAATAGGTCTGATGGGATATCCAAATGTCGGTAAAAGTAGTACAATTAATGCTTTGCTACAAGAAAAGAAAGTAAGTGTTTCGGCTACGCCAGGCAAAACAAAGCATTTTCAGACATTGTACCTTGATCAAGAAATAATCTTATGTGATTGTTGTGGACTTGTTCTGCCTAGTTTCTGCTATACAAAAGCTGATATGATTCTTAATGGAATCTTACCAATTGATCAAATGAGAGATCATGTCCCACCAGTCAATACTTTATGCACATTAATTCCACGTCATATTTTAGAAGATACTTATGGCATTCTAATAACAAAACCAATGGAAGGAGAAGATCCAGATCGTGCACCACATTCTGAGGAATTACTTTTAGCTTATGGATATAATAGAGGATATATGACAGCAAATGGTCAGCCTGATCAATCGAGATCAGCTAGAAGAGTTTTAAAAGATTTCGTTAATGGAAAATTGCTTTACTGTTATGGACCGCCTACAATTGATCAAAAAGATTTCCATCATTTTCCAGAGAGACATAATAAGGAATTGTCTGTAGAGAATTTACCGCCACGACAACAACGAGCTATGAAAATAGCAAAGAAAGCTTCATCTAAGGACATTGATGACTTATTTTTCCAAGCAAATGATAGAAATGCTCATATAAAAGGACGTAATTTGATGGGCGAGAAGCAACAAATTCGTATAAATGTCATTGGTGCCCAGCCAGCTGGATCAACAACTTCAATGGGTGTTATTGGAAAGAAGAGTAAAGCACCGAAAAGAGAGAAGCGAGAGAAATTAAGGAGAAAATACGCACATTTAGATCAGCATTAAAATCATGTTTTTAGCGCATTTTTGTGTACTTGTATACAAATTACTATCGATTTATCAGCCAATCGAATGCTTAAAAGTCTTGAAAAAGTGTATTTATACTATAATTAATGAGAACTTTTGTATTTTTTTTTGCATACAGTTTAATCACTTTTAAGCATGTGTCACAATCCTGAATAATCCTTTAATTACACTTTTATCTTTGTAATGTTAAAAACTTATTAATAAAACATAATGCAATGGAGAAAGTTCTTGTCGGTATGTTCCTCGACCATCGCAATTATATCGTCTATCTCATTATCTAAGTCCGAACTTTTGGCTAATTGTGTGACTAAATCGCTTATAATAAAAGCTCCTTTCACTGCTTCATCGTGATTATCAGTAATATCAATATTAATAATGTGTACTGGGATATTTGCGACATTTCCTTTGGTCTCTAAATATTCAACAACTTGGTCATAAACTCGTTCCTCACATGTTATGACTACTTCGAATCGTTCCTGACAATTTTGAAATCGTTCTGGTGCTAATTTTAATCTTCGGTTTCTATCAAGCATATGAAGCAGGCCATTTTGTGTATAGCTAAAGTATAATATAATTAAATGAGTATGTGCTGTTCAGCTTTTAATCAAATGATTCATTTTGACTTACTAAGCTTTATCTTTTTTCGACAAATCTTCATAAATTTCTGAATAAGGACTGCCAAATTCATAAATGTTTGGCTTATCTATGGCAGTTCCAGGTAACTTGACTTTATCACCTGTACCGAAAGATCTCACCTGTAAAATATTAAGTAAATTAATCAATTATTGAGTCAATAAATATTTTATGAAATTCATCGTACTTACTTTAAATTTCTTCTTATTGAGGAAATGATGCGCTTCCATGCTACGATTCATGTTTGATGAGCATATTACAGCTATTGATAAATCGCTAATATATGACATAATTTAAAATTATAATTATTTGTTTTTAATCGAAAACTGATTTTTGTGGATAGGATGCGACTAGTTGATATTTGAGGATACGTTCAGTTATAAAATAGGATACGTTCAGTTACTATACGACTCTAAAAAAGTAAACAAAAAACTGTAAATTAATTTATTAAAAAGTATATTCGTATTAAGGTAAAATGGCTCCAGATAAGCCTCAAAAAGCTGATAGGCGAGATGAAGTGGATTTAGAAACACAATTTATACTTAGACTTCCTGAAGACTACGCACATAAAGTAAGCATCAATTTTTTATAAGATTTTGTTTTTTATTTGTTAAAAACTTTATCTTTTTTTAAATTATAATCACAGCTACGAGATGCTATACGATCAGGAGCACAGAATTTGAAAGAAAGACTTGCTATTTCGTTAGAAAATGACTTGAGAAAAGGAATGGTTCGATTTGATGAGAGATATCTTTATGCAAAAGTTGTGGATCTTCCATGCATAATAGAATCACATAAAACAATTGATAAAAAGTCTTTCTACAAAACTGCTGATGTCTGTCAAATGGTAATTTGCAAGGAAGAACCTGATCCAGTAACTGATGACGAATCACCGGTAAGCTATTAACATAATTTAACAAGGGCTTGTCGAATAAAATTTGGTGCATTCTGAAGTTGAAGAGTTGAATATTTTGATGCCATATAAGATGCATCAACACACGAAGAATTGATTTGGGCCTCGTCACAAAAAAATTGTACGTGAGTGACGCTTTGTTATTCTTAATTATCTCCTTATCCTTAAAAGTGACAAATTTAAGTTACTTTTTTTGAAAAGAGAATTAAAATCCCCATCTATTGTTGTACAATTCACTTCTTGAAACTTTATAGTTCCTTAAAAAAATCACTTTAACTAAGCGTCACTCACGTACAATTTTTGAGAATTTTGCTGTATCTTTATTATTGTTTATTGATATATCTCCAAATGTATTTTTTTAAGGCCTAAATTCAATTCTGTTCTTTTTGAGTTTATAAAAAATTTAAAATAGTCATAACAGCTAATGATACATTACTTTTCGTATTCAAATCATAATATTTGGGATTAATGATTGTATAATTAAGAATTTTGAGAATTTAATTTTTGATGTTTTAGATGATAGTGTTTAAATATAAATTGAAAGTTATTCATGAAAACTGAGAGAATGTTTGAAGTTTTTGGGTTGAATTCCGAAATAGTTGCTTACTTTATTTTCGACGAGCCCCAACTTGTTCATTTATTAACTTCTGGATCTTTATTAATAGGTCAAAAATAAGAAGAAAGATCCGAATAAGGTTGATAAGAAGTTCTTGTATCCTCATGGCGTAACTCCGTCATTAAAAAATGTAAGAAAAAGGAGGTTCCGAAAAACACTGAAAAAGAAAAATGTTGAATTGCCTGAAATTGAAAAGGAAGTAAAAAGATTGTTAAGGACGGACAATGAAGCTGTAAATGTAAAGTGGGAAATAGTTGAAAGTGAAGAGCCTGTTGAAGCAGAACAAGGAAGAAATTCACCAGTTAAGAGCAAAAAGGAACAAGCATCAACTAGTAAAGCACATGCTAAGCATAAAGCTGCTGAAAATCTTCCAGTCGATGAACATCATATTTTCGGGGAGGAATTGTCTGATTCTGACGACGAGGATGTTAATGCAGTAGTTCCAGATATCGATATTGAGGATGCACACTTGTCTGAAGATTCTAGGAGCAGATTTAGTGACTCAAATTCTATGATGCAAGGCATTCAATCAGCATCAAACAGTCAATTGCCACTAATTGATCAAACTGAATTTAGTTCTTCAATGTTTGAAGAAGATGTAGCAGGAACAAGCTCACAAAATATTGACGACGAATCTATAGACTATCTTAATTCTAAAGAAAATTCAATGGTTTTAAATCTACGAAGTGAATTGCAGGAATTGAGGGCAAGTCAGGCACAAATTGAGCAAGAGATTCAGACGATTGACAATAAGAAATTGAAAGAACGACTACAAGATGATTTAGAGAATATAATGGGCAAGATAATAATGAAACAAATTGAGTTGCAGGAATATGAAGAGCAATGATCAGTTTAAATAAATTTGCATGCTTTTGTCATGTCACCAACAATATAAGATTAATTTTATTTGAAAACGTTAATAAAATTGTAAAAGAAAAAATTACATTTAGTGATTCGTCCTTATTTCTGTCGAAAATATAAACTATGATATTATAGAATCTTTCAGTACTATCACTTCCCCCACATTATTCTATACAGCTTAAAAAATATATACAACCATAAACTATTATTAAATCATAAATTATTTTCTTTTAAATTATGATGACTTCCATTCTCACATAAACCATTTTTGTGGCCATTTATCTCAATTTTGTGGCTGCTATCACTGTTCATTATCACATTATCGCTGTTCTGAAAAAATTCATGATTTTTAAACTTCAAGTTTTCAGGCCTTTCTAAAAGTTGCTCAGCATCGTCAATATCTTTACGTATTGCAGCAATCAATGCCTCCAAATTGTCAAAATTCTGTTCAGGTCTTAAATAGCCAATAATGCACACTTTCAATAAACTCCCGTAAAGATCTCGTCCGTACTTATGCAGAATATGAGTTTCCTAAAAAGAAGAAAAAGCGAAACAAAAATTAATCTCAACCTTGAGAATTTGTTTTAAAAATGCGTCACTATCACGTGTAGTGTAGATTAATGACAATGAATCGTAGCTATAAAGTGCTGGGTTATCAAAAAAAGCTAAATGAACCAGTGCGAAAAATGAATATGACATAACTAGCACTGATTAAAGTAGCAAATTCATCGACTTTCTTATAAAATATTTTGCAAATTACCATAGATTTATGTTTATTGTGATAATATGGATTCCAGCCAATTGACATGACCATTTTATGTACATCTCCGTTATCAATGCTGGCATATCCATAATAAATTCCTATGTCTATTTCCTTTGGCAAATTCTGTACAACTTCAACGGGAAAGTTTGCTAGAAAAATAAACAATGACATTGAGTTTTCTGCTATCTGATGAGTAATGCTGAGATGCTAGCTTACCCGTTGGAATTCCTTTAAATAGACAGATCAAGGTGAAAACAGATGTTATTTGCAAAATGTTTATTTAAATTATAATTTCGAGATAATTCTCTAATATTTCTAATTGCTTACCTAATTCCTTTGATCCTCTTCCAAATCCTTTAGTAATTTTTCCAGCTGCAAAGTGCGGTAGAAATGACATTTTATTATTTATGTTTCTCATCATTAAATCACTCTAATTAATTATTAACACTTAACAGAATTTTTCTTTTTTTTTTGGAAACTTAAATGTTCAGAAAGATTCAATTGATGTCTATTCCAGTTGCGTACCTTCAGAAATGTATTGGAAGTAATTTAAAAATTAAAACAACGTATTTTTTTCAACAATTTTAAAAATGCTCTAATAACGTCATACATATTCACAATGATCCTTGAATATTAGCATATTATTATCAAATAAAAATTTTGAGGCTCCCTTTTACAAAAATCGTTATAGTTATGGGAAAACAAGTTTAAGCTTCAGATGCTTTATTTAAGTTCAGTATAAATTCTTTTAATTTTCAGTATTGTTTATCATTTTCTTCAATTTTTAACAACGAATTTGTTGTCGAAATCTTTCAAGTTCTGTGGGGTTGGCAGCATTGACAGTTTATTTTTCAACTCTTGATATTGAACTGTCAGCATTTCAGAGATAGCTAGAAATTCAGCAGCGCGTTCACTATTTTTCGAGTTTGATTCAGCATTTTTAATCCATTTTTGGACTTGCTCGCATATTTCATTTCTCTTTAGCCAAAAGTGCGTATAAATCACATCTTTAAAACATGGTGATGGATTACAAATTTGCTGTATAATTGCATATTTTATAGAAGAAATGTATGTACTGCATGTGTAATATTTAGATTCCAAATCACCCTTTTCAGTTCCACGTATTTTTTCATAAGCAGGTTCATTGAAATAAGGCTCGCTTACGAAAACATTGGTTTGAATTGCGATAAGCACTTCCATTAAAGTTGATTTTTGAGGCTGCCATCTTGATTCCTGAGATCCTTGCCAAGTATTTAAAATACTTAAACAAATTAGTCCATTATTATATAAGTTTGGATTTATAAACTGATCACTTTGAGTTACTGTCTTATAAGCCATCAATACAGGTGTATTCGGATAATTTGGTGGAAAGTAAACATCGAATTCAAAACAGCCATTTGCATACGGAGTGTTTGATGGACCAGTAATTAAGCATTTCATCACATCCATTCGATCAGAATCTTGACGAATAAATATTGAGCTGTTAAATGATAATGGCAAGCATTTTGACAATGTAGCTGATTCTTGAGCTAAACGTTTATAACGTCCGGAATGCCCTGAATCATCATATAATCTAAGTGGTCGATCAAGAAAGTATGGAACTGTAAATTTGAAGCCATAAATAGTTTCTTCGATCATTTCATACAAATCTAAGTTAAAAGTTTTGAATAATTATTCGAGAATCGTAGATTTACATAATTCAGCTTTCTTACCAAATTGTATTTCCTTCATAACTTCTACATACTTTTCTGCCAGACTTATTGGACGCTCAAGAATCTTGATTTGATCCATTTGGTTTGAAATGTTTTCAATATTTGATGCTTCTTTAATGCAATTATTTGTAATAATCAGGTTTGATTGAAGCATTTTTATTTCATCATCCAAACAAGTTGACCTACCAATTTATTGAAATAATTAAGATATATATGGATTAACTCTGATACGAACAATTCAAGAGTTTTGACGGTTAGTTTCCAAGAAAACGTGTGAAAATATCTTGGGTAATTCCATGAGTGGGAAAATCGAAAAAAAAAATTTTAAAAGTGTTATTCTCTTTAGGGGCTGTTCACTTATTACGTAACGCAAAAAAATGACTTCTTAGACCCCCCCCCCCCCTCGTAACAAAATTTGTATGAAAAAAAAATTTCCTTGTTTGAACCGTAACAAAATCTTAGACCCCCCCCCCCTCCCCCTAAAAGCGTTACGTAATAAGTGAATGGCCCCTTAATTAAAAACATTTAACTTGATTTGATGAGCTTATCTTATAGCTTAATATGAAGTGATTTTATGACAATTAAACAGCATAAATATGTCTATAATTAATTATTTTAATAAAACTGTTGTCAAACGGTTAAATCTTTAGAAAATGTGAAATTTGTTCATGAAAATTCTCTTCATATACATGATTTAGCCAGTGATTGAGTAATTTAAGTAATTCTAAACTAAATTATCTTCAAATAGATGTGAGTTCTCCTTAATACTTTAATTATTGATTATTTCCGATAAACTATTTATTTCACAAGAATAAATTCGATTATGTTATAACGGTCAAAGTAAATTTGAAAATAACAAGTTGAGAAAAATTGTAAGTTGTTTTTTTTTCAGTTTCGTTTACTCATGGAATTACCCACTTATTTGTTTGTCTGCCATACAAAATTCGAAGTTTCAGACCCTGCAGTTCGAAATTTTCGAAAATTACAAATTAAATAAGTTTTAAATGAAATTTAGATGAAAATATTGTGAAGTCATTTAATGATAAGCATAATGTTGCTAAATCTTTTTCAAAACTATCATAAACTCCAATAAAATCACTAAAATTTGAACGGTTTTTTTCAAATTTAAACTTTTCGAACGTGCATATTATAACTCCTCTAAACTTTCGATAAGTATATCGAACATGAATTGTTCGTATCATGATTAATTAGGGGCCGTTCACTTATTACGTTACGCAAAAAAACGACTTTTTTCACCCCCTCCCCCTTGTTACAATATGTTACAACTCACACAAAAAATTTTAACTTTATTTTGTCTATTTTGGTATGTTAACGCAACACTTTTAAATTTTTTATAAATTCAAATAGAACAGAATTGAATTTTGGACCTAAACAAATACATTTGGAGATATATCATTAAATTGTACAACAATAGATGGGGATTTTAATTCTCTTTTCAAAAAAGGAACTCTTAAATTTGTCACTTTTAAGGATAAGGAGATAATCAAGAATAACCAAGCGTCACTCACGTACAATTTTTTTGTGACGAGGTCCATTATAATTTATAACTCAAATAACGACAAATATACTTACTGTAAGCGCGAAACATAATTTGCAATACAATCTTGCATGCTATTTATTAAGCTTTTGATTGTAGCAGAGTCATATTCATGTTTTAATGTCAATAATTTTGACAAGCTAGATGATGAAGCTATAGCTTGTAACAGATTAAAAACTGCACCATAAAGTTCGACCTTTTTCATAATATCCAAAACTGTAGATAAAACAATAAATAATTATTTTTATAAAAAAAAATTAAGTAAGAAAAGGATGTACCTGAGTCATTTCTTAAATAAGAGCATAATACTGGAATAAGGCAAGATTCCTTAAGAGTATCGACGAAAATTTGTGGAAAATCAAAGTTTTCTGGATCTAATTTTATACATCTATCCTTTGGATTAATGTAACATGATAAGACCTTGAAAATAATCATAATGAAGCGTTCCTCATATTTCTGCTTTTGAAGTGCTTGATCAGCATTCCAAAATGCAATTCCTGAAAAAAATGTGTTACAAAAAAGAATCCAGTAACATTTAAAGTTTTCATAAAATTACCTGGTTTTTTCAAGGAATTATTGCTATTTTGAGTAAGCTGAGCATCCAAATCAGAATTGCTGTGCGTAAAGATGTTTAAGCAGTTCAAAACGACATCCAGTGCCCCACTTTCAATTATCAATTTTCTGAATGATCTTCCATTTTCAGTTGTAAGCGACGAATTGTCCAATACACGTCTCAAAACATCAAATTGAAGAGTTGGAAGTGACATACAAACTGCTAGGCTATAGATATCCTTTGTTGCCGAAAAATAAAAATTTTGAAAATGAGGAAAATATTTTCCTTGATTCTCCATTTTGTTTACTGACTGACTGAAAATATTTTTGAATTTAAAAATATCGTTTAAAACCGTAATTTTTCTTCAAACGTGTCTTGTCAAATGGATCATCACGTGAATTTAAAAATCATGAAATTACAAATACTTATCATTGTCAATTTTATCATACATGTATCATGAAAAAAAAATATAATGTAAATTTGAAACGGCATCAGACAGGCTTCTCAAGTAACAGAATGAATTAAATTATCATAGAGTTACATCAAAAAAGACTCATTACTTTAAATGTTTGTCAACATGAGAATATGAAAACTTTGCAAAATGCCAATGTAATACTTGAATAAAGAGAATAAGATATCGGATATCTTTCATCATCTACAATTCACTCAAAAACTTTTGTATTATCTCGCATTTTGAGCTTTTCATGAGGAAGGTATTAAAAGCTTAAAGGACGAAAGGAATAAAAACATCTGTTGCTTGAAAATATTATCGTATACTCGGTATTATTTAATCTAAATTTAGTACGAGAGAGTGAAGAGAAATGACGCGAGAGAAAAATATCCTTTTTGCTCAAATATCCTGTTGCGTTCATAGGCATACAGTCAGTGCAGTAGTTTACAAGATCTCAGATAGAAGACACGTTCTTGATTACTTCCTTATCTTAAAAAAAATTGATGATAAAAGGAAATGAAAATCATCCGTATCAAGACAAAGTGCGAACACAACGAGTAAAATATGTACGAAAATTTTTCATTATAATCGTTTTAATGAATTGAAAAATTAATTGAACGTGAGACTAATTAAACAAAAGGAAAGTTCCTCGCAAATAAAATTAATTGCTTCCAAAACTTTGGATCTTAACTGAATTGTGAAAAATATAATTGATTATATGATTTTTGTTTGCTGGAGAATTTTAAGTGGAAATGGGTGATGGTAAAAAAAAGTCACAAAATCATGTTCTGTGCCGTTCTGTGGATTAACGTTATTTGAAATTCGCGGAAATAAACAATTGAAGTGGATTAGTGATTTTAATGTATTTTTTCAACCATTCATCGTTACAATTCTGCCGCAATGGGATGTCAAGCTCATTGACTAATTGTTGGTTCACATAAACTGCAACTCATTCTATTCAGGCACAGTTCAAGAGAGTAATTCATGCTCGATCTCATTCGGTCTATGTAGATTTAGAAATCCTTTACGCAATAAGCTTCTTTTTTTTATCTCACAAACATTTTTCATGGTTCACATTTTTTCGTCTAATCTTGAGCGGTATTCATTTAATACTCTCCAGTGGTGTATGAAAGGGTATTTTAATACAAGCCACAAGAGTTTAAAAGAAGTAGATTTTACCCTTGAGAAGCATGAGGTGTTATGGCCAATGCTGTGGTTTTCATTTGATTTTCGCAGGTGAATATTGGAATGTTCATATCTCTCACGTGATACAGCAATTCATGAATATAACGACTGATTGATTCATCTTTTAAATTGAACATAGATGTGAGATTAAAAACTTTTTCCGATGTAGAATGTAGCTCGAAAGAGAAAACTGTGGAAATAAACAGATAACGAACTAGTGTAAAATGAAAAAGTTATAGGCAGAGCTAAATGCTCAGGATATAATTAAAGATAAATAAAAATGAAATGTTTAGAAACCTCGTTGCTGTTAGTATTGTTCAATTTCATTAGCCACGAGCTTGTGGAATTTAAGGATCATACATTTTAACTTCCACGCAAAAAGCGTGTAAGTTATTAGTTTCGGTCAAAACACACTTTTTTCAATACAGCCTGAAGGACTCATTTTCAAAAATTTCAAAGGGTACCAAAATGTGTGTATTAGGAGCCCGGATTTTTCTGTGCATAAACTTTTACAATTGGATATCATCTATGCCTTCAAAACGCCAAAAACGTCTTTTTTGGGTCTACAAATTTGGTAATCAGGTTCACAGCCGAGCCATAAGGCTCTCGGAAAATAATTCTTTTGCCATTTGATCACACAACATAAGCAATTTGGGGAATGGAAAGTCATTTTTCGAAATTCTCAAATTTTCAGTAGTTTTGAAGCTGTCAAAGTTGGAAAACCTAGGAAAAATGGTAATTTCTTTTAAAATTCTTGCGGAAACAGATTTTTTCTTAAACTGGATATTATATTAAATTCTATCTTATAGTCCTCTTCAAGAGCTTTACAAAAATACCCTATATGACTCTGCTTTAACTTTACCATGACATTCTATAGCCTCTTGAAAATCGAAAAAATTGGCATTTTTGGAACCTTTAGTATTCTAATTTTAGAAGCTGCGGTTTTTTGTGTTAAATGGATCCAGTATTGAGAAATAATTATGTCAAGTTTCAGACAATTTTATGCATACGATAGTCCACAAGGTTTAAAAGTCTCCCTAGTAGTATGCAATTTTTGATCATTTTTTGCTCCGCTCTCACTTGTTTTAAGCTCAAATCAAATAATTCCCAAACCATTTCGAGATTGATGTCTAGGATATAAATGCTAAGTTTCGTCCGAAACTGAACATAACATGAGGCACTAGGGCTGATTTTCGATGTTTTTGAGTAGCAAATGTTGTTGACATTTTTCTGTGTTGGCTCCAAAAAGCCAAAAAATTCAACGTTTTGTATCATAAAAAATTGAATTTTAAAAAGCATCAATTTTAATGAATTTTGACTTTGATTCTACAATATTCGGGTCATGTCAAGACTAATTCAAGTGCCTCACATTAAATTTATTTTTTTTTCTTGGTCTCATATACCATAAAATTATGTACGCTACGGACCTTTACGAAAAATTCGAATTCCAAAAATCGAAACACGAAAAATTCGAAGTTTTAAAAAATGAAACACGAAAATTCGAGTTCCAAAAATTGAATCATGAAAAATTCAATTTCAAAAAATTGTTGACTCTGCATTCCAGAAATTGAAACACGAATAATTCGAATTTCAAAAATCAAAAAGCGAAAAATTCAAATTCCAAAAATTGAAACACGAAAAATTCGAATTCAAAAAATTGAAACACGAAAATTTCGAGTTCCAAAAATTGAAACACGAAAAATTCGGATTCACAAAAGTTGAAACTCTGAAACTTCAAAATTATCCAATCCAAATCACAACTTCTGTTTGTCGGCCTCTTTTCTACCGAAATAGAAAAGATCACAGGACTCACCTCGCGAAGGTCAACAGAACGAGTCCCTGGTTAATGATCAATTTTTGGTCGAATTCCTCAGTGATACGCTCCTTCTTAAATCAAACAACTTTCGTTAGACGACTTAGTTGCAACTTACAGGATAGCCAAGTTTTACCAACTATGACAAAAACTGTAAGTTAAACACATCACCGGGTTACATTAAATGCCGTGATGCATCTATCATTAAGGGTGTGCGACCCATCTGGAAGCGCCTCTATAAAGATCAATACCGCCTTGAGTCAACGAATTTCAGTACCACTGGCCTTTACGTCCCCTCCAAACCAACAAGAACAAGCTGTAACACCGTAAGGCATGGCTTGGAGTCATGAATAGAGAGCTCACGTTCAGGATTTATTGGGCAAAGATCTTGTTATGACTCTCAACGGCCCGGAAGTATTTGTTGTGAATGAATTGGAATAATTCACGAAATACAAAGTAAAGTAAGAGCTGAAAAAGAAATGAATTAATAAACAGCATAATACGGACAGACGGATTGACAGTGATGTTTTTTTTGGACAGCCCACCCTCAACCCCCTCTTGTAATTCCTAAAAAGTTCGAAGCCCTTTTTATAGAGGATAAGCCTCGTTCGATAAAAATTATATAAAAAACTCGAACGCGCCATTAAAGTTCATTCATGTCCATGTTACTAAAAAGAAAAATCCCCTTACGTTAACAAAGCTACCAATCACCCCTCACCCAATCACCCAAACCCTTCAACCAATCACCCCTTATGCAATCACCCAATGACCTAAACCCTTCCCTTGGCGTCAATGGGGCGCAACTCCCATATAGATTTTTTTATGCTCTTCTCGCCTGCCCAACTCCTACCCCCTCACACTACAATTTAAATCCCTACCCCTTCACACCCCAAACCCCTACCCCCTCACACTCCAATTTCAATCCCTACCCCTTTACACCCCAAATTCAACCCCCAGCCCTCACCCAATCACCCAAACCCTTCCCTTGGCGTCAATGGGGCGCAACTCCCATATAGATTTTTTTATGCTCTTCTCGCCTGCCCAACCCCTACCCCCTCACACTCCAATTTCAATCCCTACCCCTTTACACCCCAAATTCAACCCCCAGCCCTCACCCAATCACCCAAACCCTTCCCTTGGCGTCAATGGGGCGCAACTCCCATATAGATTTTTTTATGCTCTTCTCGCCTGCCCAACCCCTACCCCCTCACACTCCAATTTCAATCCCTACCCCTTTACACCCCAAATTCAACCCCCAGCCCTCACCCAATCACCCAAACCCTTCCCTTGGCGTCAATGGGGCGCAACTCCCATATAGATTTTTTTATGCTCTTCTCGCCTGCCCAACCCCTACCCCCTCACACTCCAATTTCAATCCCTACCCCTTTACACCCCAAATTCAACCCCCAGCCCTCACCCAATCACCCAAACCCTTCTCTTGGCGTCAATGGGGCGCAACTCCCATATAGATTTTTTTATGCTCTTCTCGCCTGCCCAAACCCTACCCCCTCACACTCCAATTTCAATCCCTACCCCTTTACACCCCAAATTCAACCCCCAGCCCTCACCCAATCACCCAAACCCTTCCCTTGGCGTCAATGGGGCGCAACTCCCATATAGATTTTTTTATGCTCTTCTCGCCTGCCCAACCCCTACCCCCTCACACTCCAATTTCAATCCCTACCCCTTTACACCCCAAATTCAACCCCCAGCCCTCACCCAATCACCCAAACCCTTCCCTTGGCGTCAATGGGGCGCAACTCCCATATAGATTTTTTTATGCTCTTCTCGCCTGCCCAACCCCTTCCCCCTCACACTCCAATTTCAATCCCTATCCCTTCACACCCGAACCCCTA